GCCAAGGCAAATCTCCCCAGACCACCCAAGACAGAGGCATCTTTACAAGGCAAGGAGCGTGAGCTGAGCAGGGCCCCTTTATGAGGGAGCCTGACCTGGCTTGGAGCTCATTTGTCTACCGACCCTCAGCCTGGAAGAACTGGAGGTGTGAGCAGCCGACCTCAGCCTCCTCCACCATGCCAGTAGCCTGCCTTATGACCCATCGTTAAAGCTCAATCTCCATCTGGGGCAAAGGAGGGGCTGGGGCCCGGGGGAGGGCTGAGTCCTGAGTGGGCTCCCCCGATCGCCTTGATGGAGGCCCCGCCAGGCAGCCTTCGAGGACATACCTGAGGTTTGGCAGCCAGTCCCCAGGGCTGAGTCAGCAGGAAGGGACTCGGGACTTCCTAGGAAAAGCATCTGGGACTTCGAGGCGCCCCCAGCCCCCAGCCCACGGCCTCCCCAGGGCCACCGGACGGTGGGAGGTGCCATGTGCACCAGGCTGCGCCCGCTGTGCTTTGAGGGACTGAACTGCGGGGGTTCGTGGCGGGTCAGGATCAGCCCTGACTTGGGCGATCAGGGTGTCTGAGGGTTGAGTGTCCCCAAGTGCAGGGTGACAAAGGGCAACTGTGGGTGTTGATGTTCCACTGTACACAGGTGCTCTTGGCTGCCAGCACCCTCGCAGGACCCTGCCTTGTAAGCCTCTGTGTCAGGGTTCATCCGCCCGGGCTGCTGTGAGGGTTGGCACAGTGGCCAGCTAGGCTGTCACACCCAAAACAACCGGCAAATCCAGCCGTGTGCACTTTGGCGGGGGGGGGGGGGATGACTGCGTGTGGGGCTGCAGTTAAGAGTGACGGTGTAGCTGAATGAGTGACAAGAAGGGGGCCTAGTGGTGTGGGAGGGAGTGTCTGACTGGGGAGGACAGGGACAGCGAGTGACCAGGACGGCGTGACCTCAGGACTGATGATAAAGAAGCTTGACTCCACGCGCCACATCCGCTGTTTGGCACGGCACCTGTGACCCTGGGTAGGGCGGTGGATGTTTCCCTGCATCCATCACCAAATGTCCGTGTCTGTTGCTCCCCTGATCCCTGGGCTCTCCTCCCTCCTGCCTGTCCAGATCCCCCACCCCAGGCCCTGGGGTCTGGCCTCAGCTCCTGCCCTGGGAGGGGTTGGGCAGGACATTGGCGCTCAGCTGAACTGTTCCTTCTCTGCTGGCCTCCTGCCTCTGTTTCCACCATTAAAATGCAAGCATTCCTCCCACCTGACTGAAGCCAGTTCTCCCCGCCAGGCTGGCTCCAGTCTTTGGGGTCTGCGACTGGGTCATACCCAACTCTGAGGGCTGATGAGGGAGACAGACAGGGCTGGGGAAGTGGTGGGTAGCCATGCCAGGGACACGAGGCCCAAGTGGAGGAGCCAGCAGTGTTCAGCCAAAACAGGAGGCAGCTGGAGGGGAAGGGGCGCTGGGCTGCAGGTTTGGACCCTGAAGGTCTGCCACGTGGGAGGGGGCAGACCCAGTTCCATAAAGGAAACACTTTTCAACACGCTGAATGCTGCCCCAGGTCTAGAGGAGTCTTTGTTATGAGAAACTGTGTGATCTTTCCCAGCCCCAGCACCTTCTGTGGCTCCCCATCACCCACCTGAGACTCTCCAGCTCCTTGCTTGGCAGGAGCTGGGGTGCTGGCACCGGGGCCTCCAAACCCTGTCTCCAAGCACAGCCCTGGGGCCCACCCTCAGAGACTGGGGCTGATACCCTTGGGTTTGCCAGATTCTCCCAGACCCTCCAGGCCCCTAAGTCTGGCCCCTGGGCAGGGGAAGATGTTCCCATGAAAAGCATGGGCTGAGCAAAAGTGTGAGTGAGGGCTGGAGAGGCTGGGGGTTGTCCGATGGAGAGTTCTCCAGATGGACAAGAGCCAGCGGGCCATGTAGGCTGAGCACTGACTCCACAGGTGTGTGGCATTCAAGGCTCTGTACGCCACCCCTGTGTGTCTCCCTTCTCCATGCCCGCCTGAGGTTTCCCTCCTCAGCCTTCACATGTACCTTTCCAGCTGCCTGGTATGCCCTTCCTGCCTTGCCCACCTGGCAAACTCCTAGACATCCTTCAAGACCCACTGCCTGTGTCCTTTTCTCTGAGAAACATTGCCCTTCCCTTCAGCCTATGGTGTCCCCATTTGCTGTATGACCCGGGGCAAGTCCCTTCAGCTGTGAAATGGGGGTACGTGTGTGAAAAACCACCCTCCCTAAAAGCATATTTTGAGGCCCAAGGCAATAAATATACATTAAATGCTCTCAAAGTGAGTTAGGGCTTTGGGGACAGGGAGGGCTTGTATCCAGTCACTGCTCAATGTGTGTTCATTTTTATCTTCCTCCTCTTGGATTCTACAGGTTTAAGACTCTCTTGTTTTAAGCACTGTTCCAAGATTTTTCTCCCACTCGCAATACTAGGAATTTTAAGAACCCCTGGTTCTAAAATTATAAGTCTAAAATGCCGTGGGCGGGACCAAGGGCCTCCTTGTGCCCTGAGCTGACGCCAGGGTGGCTGGAGCTGGGGTCTCTAGGGTGGACTTTATGCCCTCCACACCCCAAGCTGACGGGGTGTGGTCTGGCAGCCCCAGTTTTAGGGGGAGAGCAATGGATTTACCAGGAGGCGGATAGCAAACATTCCAGGAGCGGGGGCGTGGAGACTCCTGGCTCCGAGGCTAGAATGGGGTCACAAGACAGCGTCAAGAAGCACAGGGCTGGGCTTCCCTGGTGGCGCAGTGGTTGAGAGTCTGCCTGCCGATGCAGGGGACACGGGTTCGTGCCCCGGTCCTGGAAGATCCCACATGCCGCGGAGCGGCTGGGCCCGTGAGCCATGGCCGCTGAGCCTGCGCGTCCGGAGCCTGTGCTCCGCAACGGGAGAGGCCGCAACAGCGAGAGGCCCGCGTACCGCAAAAAAACCCCAAAAAACGAAGCACAGGGCTGTCAGCTCAGAGCCATGGCTTCCTTCTCTTGGAGCCTCAGTTTTCTCATCTGAATATTGGGGCCAAGTGCTGGCCTCTTGAAGAGCTGTTAGCAGGGATGAGGAGGCACTGGGGCTTCAGCCACCGTCCTGTGCCAAGCATTTTCTTGGGCTCTGCCCTCTGCCTGGGACAGTCTCCCTGGCCCGCTTCCCTCTAGGAGCCCCTGCTCACTCCTGGCCCAGCCGCAGCAGCTGGGGAGGGGGCCCCAGGATGACGCCCACTCACCCCTGCCCCACCCTAGGGAAGGGGGGCCAGCTGCCAGCCCCAAACTCAGCTGCCCCAGGCCTGGCAGTGGCCGCAGCCCCAACACTTTCTCAATGAAAGGTATTTGGCAGTGATGTCTGACACCTCATCACACCCAGCCTGGAAGCCAGCTTCTCCTGCCAGCTGCAGGGGGAACCCCCCCAACTCCTGCTGCCCCCCAGGACCCCGACAGGCAGGCCCAGAGTCTGCGTTGCCTTGGGCGGTGGCCTACCCCTCTGAGCTTCCCTCTCAGCTGAGGGTGTAGACACAGTAAGTCTGGATAAATGCACATGCCCCTGGCTCCCAGGGGCCTCAAAGCATCTCCCCTCTCTCGTCCATCACAGCCTATCCAAGGAGAGGCTGGGGTGCTGGCACCGGGGCCTCCAAACCTTGTCTCCAAGCACAGCCCTGGGGCCCACCCTCAGAGACTGGGGCTGATACCCTCGGGTTTGCCAGATTCTCCCAGACCCTCCAGGCCCCTAAGTCTGGCCCCTGGGCAGGGGAAGATGTTCCCATGAAAGGCATGGGCTGAGCAAAAGTGTGAGGGAGGGCTGGAGAGGCTGGGGGTTGTCCGATGGAGAGTTCTTCAGATGGACAAGAGCCAGCGGGCCATGTAGGCTGAGCACTGACTCCACAGGTGTGTCGGGGTGTGCGTGAACCTCTCTCCCCGCCAAGGCCAGGCCCTCTCCGGGCCCCCATTGTTGGCACAGAGGTGACACCTCTACATGCTAGACAGGCAGATGGTAAGAGGGACTGGAGGGGCAGGGGTGGACAGGTGGGCGAGCGGGTGGGTGGGTGATAGAGGGGAAGTGGGCAGTTGAGTGGGTAAGTGGGTGGGTGTGCAGAAGGCCTGAGCAGGCCCTAGAATAAGGGAATAATACCCCGCACTCCAACTCCCTGCCGCCACCCTTTCTGGGGGCAATCAGCCAGGCACAATGCTCCCCATTCCAGGCCCCCAGAAACGCCACATTGATGCCTTCCAGGGACCGACGTCTACAGGCCAAGGGAGTCTCACGCGTGTCCTTGAGGGGACTGCTGGGCCATCCAGGGAGCCCCCCGCTCCTGCCGGGATTCACTCTGGGGCCCAAGCAGCCCTTTGCCTCTCCTTTTTGGGACCTCAGTTTCTCTGTCTGGAAAGTGGGGGTGTGGTCGGAACAGCGCCTGCCCCATGGGGCGTCAGGACAACTTGCCTGGCCGCGCGCACACAGCGCGCAAGCAAGTGATGGTGCTGCACCTCCAGACTGAGAGTCCCGGTGATGGCTCAGGACCATGGCCTTGGGCAGCCAAATCACCACGTGGTCAAGGCATGGCCAGGCCTCAGCCGGGTGTGACCCAGGGCGGGGCAGCTGTGGTCCCGGTGGAAGAAGTCCAGGGAAGCCTCAGTTCCTGCCTCCTGGGGCAAGCGGCCCTGCCAGGGCCCCTCCCTGCCCACTGTAGCCCCTGGGCATGTGGCCAGATAGGAGCCACTGACCACAGCCAGGCAAGGAGGATAAGGCCAGGGCAGCAGCTGCTACTGTGCTTTGCAGTCAGGGCTGCACAAGCCTGGGCTGCTTATGAGTCAGCTCTGCACACACATGTCGCAGATACACTTCTGTGGGCATCGGTTGGGGCCCACGTGCCTGCCTGAGGAGTGTCCAGGGCCGCACGGGGGCCTGCAAGCCGCTTGCACACCCATGTCCGTATGTGCTTCAGGCCTGTTTCTGCCTGCCAAGGTGCACCTGGATCCAGCAGCCCCAGCCTCCATCCTTCTCTCCCCAAGACTGACACCAGGAGTTGGAAATGAAGCATCTTTAATGGAATCCCTGCTCCGACCCCCTGGGGAATCTCCAAGCACCAAACGTATGAGAATTGTGCTCCTCAGTCCCAGAGCCAAGAAGCCTCTTCCCCAGACCTTCAATGGGCCACGTCCGGACCCCACACTCACACCTGTTATTATTTATTCAATAAATAACCCCAAGAACAAAACTCAGGGTAGAGGACCCAATAAAGCATCCAGCTCAGCACAGAAATCTGAAAGGGAGGATTATCTGAAATCCGGGTCAAAATATGAAATGAAATCAGAGCTGGCATGTGAGCTGGGAATGATCCCCTCTGGGCCTCAGCCGGTCACCAGCCCCGACCATCATCCCAGGATGCTGGCTCCCACAGTCAGGACAAACTCCATTTCACGTCACACAGCAACAATTATCTGCCTGCATTTGCACCATCGGACCTGACTGAATTCTGGGCTGGGGAGGGAAGTGCCCAGAAACCTGAAGAGACTTGCCAAGGACAGAGGAGTCTGGAGCAGGGCAGAGGAGCGAGGCTGGGGCCCAGGGTCACTGCTGTACCCTGCCACGGCGGGTGCGGAGGGGCCCTGAGGCTCGTGCCTGTGCCCGGCCCACCTCACCCATCTCCCTGCGGATGTCACCAAGAGCTGCCGATGGGGACTCCAGCAGCCTCTGGAAGAGGCTCGGCCGGCCTTCTGGTGTCTCCCGGCACTGAAAGGTGACGGCTGTGCCAGCATCGGCCTTCATCTCCCTGGAGAAGCCATCAGAGGAGCCATCGAAGCAGCGGCCAATGGCAATCTCCTTGGCCAGCCTTGGGCTCTGGTCAGTGACTGTATAGACACCATAGTTGTGACCCAGAGGGTCCAGCGGGGCCAGCATGGAGAAGACAGCCAGGTCATCAGCAGGTGCAGCAGGGGGGTGCCGGGTCAAGTAATCCTGCAGGAGTCCGTTGACCGCCACGCGCCGGCAGCTGCCCTGGGGCATGATGGTCACCAGCGTCCTGTCCACCTGACGCTGGTCGAACAGCATCCCGCTGCACTTGAACTCCACGCAGGCCGCAGATGTGCTAGGGCGCTGGGGGTCTCGGACACTCCGGTCATCCCGCAGACCGTAGAGCTGGCCTCGGGTCCGAGGGTGGCTGCCCCCCGAATTGTGGGAGCGGACCATGTATTCCTGGGGACCCTGGATCTTCACCTTGAGGAAGCAGGCTCTGAACTCCTGCGGGTTGGGCCACCAGGCCAGGAGATCTCCAGTCCAGGATGCCGGCACGCCCTCGCGGAAGGGGACCACGTTATACTCGTATTTGTCCACCTCCACGCGAGCAAAGCGGAAGTGGCTGGCGGTCACCGGGGCCTCCTGACACTCCCGCAGGTTGCGCCACGGGTACACGGGGCCGTTGGCCTCGGCGGGGTCGCCGGACCTGGGTTTGGCGAGGTTGATGCGGAAGCCATTGCGTTTGAGGGAGGGGTCATCGTGGTCGGTGCGGCGGTAACCCAGCTTGTCTAGGTAGGGCTGGGCCACGCCCACGGTGGCCGGGCGTGGGCGGGGCCTGGACGGGGCGGGCTCCAGCTCCTCCCCGCCCAGGGTGGCCGTGACCAGGGCGGTGTAGGCGTCTGGCCGGTCAGCATCGCAGAAGGCGGGGAGGCAGGCCCCGTTGGGACCAGTGACGGCGCTGTCGAAGCGGCCCCAGGCGCGGGGGTTGGCCGAGAAGCCGGGGGCAGGCTCCAGGTTGACCAGCGTGACCACCACGCCCTCCACCTGCTCGTTGGGGTTGAACTTGTCGTTGGCGTAGGCGCGCACCTTCACCAAGCAGCGGCGGCGCTCAGGCACGTCCAGGTTGAACAGACGCCGCTCCCGGATCTCCACGTTGCCCACCAGGAAGACCCGCTCCTCCCGGCGGACCCGTGAGGCCGCCGACTTCTCACGCTGGAAGCCGCTCTCCTCTTCCCACAAGCCCGTGTCAGGGTTCAGCGACCACAGCTTCAGGGCCTCCACGTGGCCGGCCATTCGGATCTGGCTGGCGGCCACACGCACGGCCACCGGCCCGGTCTGCAGCTGCTCTGCGGAGCCGGCAGCACGGAGGTCCACCGAGAACATGCCGTAGGTGCGCAGTGGAGCCAACTCCCCGTCACTGTCCACAAATCGCAGGTCACTGGGGGCCGCAGCCGCCGAGGTGACATTTCGGGGGTCAACAAATGTCACCCGGGCCTCCACAGCCCCTGCATAGGGTTCACCATCAGCTCTGCGGAAGGCTTTCGGCGGGATGACCAGCTCACCTAAGGGGGCTTCGTCCTCCAGCTCCCCGAGGGATATCGTGTTGCTCTGGCTGGCATCTAAGATGACAGGGGCTTTCTTGCGCATGGCCTTGACCTCATGGTACACGCCCGCACCTTGAGGGTCAAAAGGCAGGACCCTGACAGTGTCCACGAACTGGCCACTGGGGTCCACGAAAGTAATCACCAGCCGCTGAGTGGAAGGTGCCACCTCAATGGTGAAGTCACCCTGGTAGGATGTGAAGCCAATGGGCTCCCGGCCCAGGAGGATCCGAGCAAAGCGCAAGGGCTCCCTAGACTCAGCGGCCACCACACGTCCCCGGATCAGCCCCCGAGGGGGCAGACATTTCCGGCAGCCACATTCAGCCACTATCTTTACTGGGAGGATGTAGCCAGAGCAGTGGATCTTCCTGCTCTCCAGCCGGTGCACCGAGCAGCAGCGGGAGCCTGCATCCCCACATCGGGGGCTCGAGCCCGCAGGGCTGGGGCAGAGGGTGTCAGGGCAAAGGCCTACGTCCAGGTAGATGAGGCCGCTGCCTGGCTGACCACAGTCGTCTGGAAGCTTGATCAGGTGTTCTCGGGGCTGGGGGTCACAGGCTGGCTGGCCTGGGGCTGTGGAGCAAGAAATCAGCCAGATCAGGGTAAGGGGGGGCACTCCATGGAGGCCAAGGTTGGGGGCCTAGATTGGGATCAGAGGCTCAACCCGGGGGCTCAGTGGGAGCCTGGGATCCGACTGAGCAAGGTCAGAGATCAGTCTGAAGTTGGGGTTCCGTTTGAAGTTGCGTTTTCACTGGGGTTGGGGCTCAGTTTGGTGTCAGGGCTCGCTCAGGGCTGTGGGTAGGGTTGCTGAGGACACTCACCAAGCACGGTGAGTTGGGCAGTGCCCGATCGCACGGCCCCGGCATCATTCCACGCTTTGCAGTGATAGGTGCCTGCCTGGTCTGGGTGAAGCCCATGCAGCTCCAGGTGGGTCCCGTACCTGTGCGTTCGCCTGTCCAGCAGGGTCCCGTTGTGGAACCTGGGTGGCGGGTGAGCAGCACCATGAATGCCCTTGGCACGGGGGAGGGGCTGCATCTGTCCCGCCCCACATGGAGCACAGGGAGGTTGCAGAGCAGCTTCCTCTGGGTCTCTGAGGCACCACATATCATGGGAAGCCCATTCCAACCCCAAATCTGGGCACGAGACCCTTGAGCATGGGGCAAGGCACTCACCAGGAGTATTTCTTGGGCATGGGGGTGCCCAAGGCTTTGCAGCAGAAGGTCACATTCTGGCCAGCCTCTCGAACTCGGGACTCAGGGTGCTTCACCAGATAGGGCTTCTCTGGGGGCAGAGGCAGCAAAGGTCAGGGCTCTGCCCCACCCCAGCTTCTCCCAATGACCCTTCCCAAGAGCAGGGCCCCATCCTTTCCCTTACAGTGATGCCCTGTTTCACTTGGGCCTTTTCTAATGACCCTCCCCCCACTCAGGTTCACCTCACATCTGCTGGAGACTGTGCCCTTAAAGGGTTTTTTTTGTTTTTTTTTTTTGCGGTATGCGGGCCTCTCACTGCTGTGGCCTCTCCCATCACAGAGCACAGGCTCCGGATGCGCAGGCTCAGCGGCCATGGCTCACAGGCCTAGCCGCTCCACGGCATGTGGGATCTTCCTGGACCGAGGCACGAACCCGTGTCCCCTGCATCGGCAGGCGGACTGTCAACCACTGCACCACGCAGGGAAGCCCAATGCTTAATCTTAATGCTTCCCTTTGCAACTCCACCTCTCACCTCACATCTTCTCCAATGACCGTTACATCTTATTTCTTGCTCCATTGGCCTCACTGTACATCACATCATCCCAAGTGCTTGGCGTCACCCAGAATTTCCTCCCCAGTTCCTCAGCCCCCTCATCCCTCTTACCATGAGGCACTTACCCAACTTATTAAGGACAAGAGTGACCACAGCAGAGATGGAGCTGTTGGCCTGGGCCTGGGCCATGCCTGCAGAGAAGCCATCCATTCGGGCACTGACATTGGCTCGGCTGCTGGCACAGACTCCAGGCACCCAGAAGGTTCTGTGGGCATGGCTAGTAGCCATGGTGCCAGGCCAGTCTCGCAAGGAGACCCTGGCTCCTGGCAGCGGACACCCAGATGGGGTGACCACCGAGCCCAGAAGGATGTGGTCAGGGCACCCACAGGTGTTGAGACCACACCCTGGGGGGGGCACAGAAGGCAGAGAAGACTCTTGACCCCTTCCTGGGGAGGGCTTTCCTCTCTATCAGTCACTCAGCAAAGGTACCCAGACACCCTCCCCACCTTGTTCCCCTCAGAGAGTCCTCAGCATGGACCTGCTTGCAGCAGCCCTTGGTGTGAAGGACATGGGGCTCAGTGGTCAGGGCTGGGCCAAGGGGAGGGACCTGGGATCCTGGTGTGAAAGAGATGCCCTGGAGGAGAGGACAGGATAGGTGACTCTTACAGGGCAGAGAGGCTCCTTCTAGCATGAGAGAAAATGTTCAGGCAGGGGCTGGGGGCCCAGTGAGGGGATGGGTCTTGGGCCTAGAACATCTCCCTCCTGTCACAATCCTGCGGTTTCTCCATAAAATGGAAAATTCCACTGGAAACTTCAGGGCAGAGGCACGGAGAAGGCAGAGCCAAGCAGAGTAGGGTGGGGAATCCCACCACCCCATTGGCTACTGTGCTCCCCCACCCTGCTGCGTGCTCTGCTGGGGCAGTCTCCAGACCATGTTTGTGGAGACCAGGCCTGATTGGAATTTCCAGTCGCCTCCTGGCTGGCCTGGTGTCTGGACCAGGGAGGGCCTGGGCATCATGTCTGCCAGGGTGTGAGCGCATGTCCACGTGGGTGTGGGGGACGGGCGTGGCCTGCGAATGCCACGCGCGTGTGCACCACGAGTGTGTGAGCCAGCTTCTGTGTGTATCCACATCCACCAGGACATCCGCACACTCCAACAGGCACACAGAGGAAGTGCCTCCTCAGATCTGCCCATGACTGGACACGACCCCCATGGCGTCCACCCGTCCAGATGTACACATTTACCAATGCTCTTCGGGGGCCCGGAAGGGAAGGAAAAGCCAGTCTCCAAGTGGTCCAAGTTCTGGTCGTCCAGGCTCCGCCCCTACACTCAGGCTCCGCCTCCTCCCTCCAGGCACCGCCCCATCAGGCTCCACCCCAACTAGCCCCTCTAGGTACTTCCCTCAACTGGCCCCGCCCCTACACTCAGGCCCCGCCTCTAACCCAACTATCTCCTCCAGGCCCCGCCCCTCCTACCTGGACATGTAGGCCTCACACACTTCTGCGCCTCCAGGGGACGCCCAGGACACGCATCCGCAGCAGGGCTTGGGCAGCGGCGGCGGCGCAAGCGACGGCCTGGCCCGCAGCTCCCCGAACAAGGACCCCACGGGCCCCACGCACCCCACGTGGCCTCTGGGGAGAGGGCAGGGATGGGGGCGTCAGATGGAACCTGGAACTCTGTTGACAGTGTGGGACTGGAGGGTGCTCTCGTCACGCGCATCCGAGTCAGAGAGAAGTCCTGCCCACTGCCTCAATCGGTGCTCCCCCAGGCGCACCAGTCGAATGTGCAGTTGAGGTACCTTCCCGCCCCCGCCAAGATAAGCCCTGCTGTTCTCCCTGCGTCTCACCCACATCTGGGGCTCAAAACACACTTCCACAGAACGGCCCTAGTTCTAGATGAGCAAAAGAGGGCAGTGAGAGGGAGCTATGTTCCTGGGGGCCCCTTCCGGACCCCGACCTGGGCCCCGGCCATTCTTAGCCCCTCCCTTCCAAAGCTCCTCTCCTATCCGGTCCGGCCGTCTCCTGCGGCCTTGCTCCTAAAAGGCCCCGCGTCTTCCTAGCCACGCCCTGCACCCTCACCCTCCCCCCACCCCACACGACACCATCCTTTCAGGCCTCATCCACCTATGGCCGATCCCCGCCGCTCCCTTAGCCCCGCCCTCACCGAGCGGGCAGCGGAAGCGCACGAGGTAGTTGGAGCAGCGGCGGCCTCGGGGCTGCTCGCGGTTGAGGCACCAGAAACCTCGCGTGGGGTTCAAGTGTACGCGCTCGCCGACGTCTGACGGCAGGGCCCAGTCTGTGGTGCGCGCCTCCAGCGCCAGCGGCCGCGGGCACACGCGCGCCGGCCCGTAATAGAAGCGGATCGCAGCCAAGCTCTCGAAGTCACCGTCGCCTCCCGGGTGGTCGACGTTGAACCAGGACGTCCACTCGCTGGCCTCTGCGGACACCGCACGCGCTGGGACCCGGGCCTTAGCCGGTCGGGCCCCATCAGTTCAGGCAGGAGCCTGGGCTGCGGCCTGCCCACCCCCATCTGCGTGTTTAAGCCAGGTCCCCCTCCCCACAAAAGTGCATGGGCGAGCCCCGCCTGCCCAGATCCAGAGCCCTCGAGGGCAGAAGGAGCTGTAGAAGGATCAGGGGAGGTTGGATTGCGCTTGCCCCGGCCCTAGTTCTGCTGCTCAGTATCTGAGCTGGCCCATGAGTGCACGCTGAGATCTTGCCACTGTCTCACCAGCCCCCACTCTCAGAATTCAGAACCGTTGAGGTGTAAGGAGATATAAAGGCAGCACGAGGAGCCAGGCCTGAGACCAGCTGTTCCACTGCCTAGCAGCCTCGCATCAGTGCCAGCTGGGACCTTGTTTGCTGCCCACTGAACCTATCAGGCAACCCTCCCTTTCACAGAAGCCAGAGGTGGGAAGGGTCTGGCCTCTCACAGGTTAGCTTCTGTTTCCATCAACTCCCCAAGGGGCGCTCACTCCTTTCCTCATTCAAGAGCAAGTCAAATAGAACCTTCCTAGCTGGGAAGCTAGAGACTTGGGTTCCAGAACTCCTGTTTCCCTGACTGAACTGAGCTTGTCTCACCGCCCCGCCCCACCCCACCCTGGTTTCCTCCTGGACAAACAGCCTGGGCTCTCATCTCCCTGCTCCTAAAACTTAGACCTCTTGGGGCACCACTTCCAGGGGCTGCCGTGCCCAGGGACCAGGACAGTCCTGGGCTCTTCACCCAGCTTGTGTCCCCTCCTCACAAGACCCTACCAGCCAGAGCTCACACAGAGTCCACAGCAGAACGAGGACTCAGACCCAAGCTGGCTCACCTTCCCAGTCCTCCAGGGCTGGTGAGGGCTGGCCAGGGTGCAGCAGTGAACCTTCAAGGCCCCACGCAGTCACCATGGGCTCCTCAGGGGTGGTGGTGCCTGTCAAAGGGGTGAGGGGTAGGGGGAAGGACTTCTGTGAACTCCTGGTATGCAAAGTGCTCCCACGATCATCCCCATTTCACAGGGGAGAAGCCGGAATCCAGGGGAGAATTGCAGCACCCCCTCCTCCAGGAAGCCTCCCCATGACCTCCCCACCCCCAGTCTCCCACAGCCCCATCCCTCACTCTGACACAGCCCCTTAGGTTAGGGAAGTCTGTATCCACTCTGCTTCCCAGACCCAGTTCTCCCACTGTGCTCAGTGGCCATGAGTTCAGTTGGCTGTGCCCCTCCCTGCTGTCATATTGATCTGAATTTTCTTTCATCCATTTGCTGACTGGAAGTCCCTCCCTCAGTCTACCTTTCATCCCTGCACTTGGGGCCCAAGCTGCCGGTGGGAAGTCCTTGGAATCTAGCCTGGCTTCTCCAGCCGCGAGTTGTCTGAGATAACTGGTCTGGGCAGTGACTTCAGACAAGTCCCTTCCCTCTTGGAGTCTCAGTCTCCCCATCTGAGAAATGGGCCCAGTTCCCCACTCCACTGAGTGTTCCAGAGATGGGAATTTCTTTTCTGAGTGCTGTGTGTGTGTGGAAGAGGGAAGGAGTTAGGTGAGAGGGGACAGCTCTGGCCCCTTCATAGTGAGACCAAGACTGGATGATTCAGGGTCCAAATGCTGTGGCTGAGATGGGTACCCTGCAGTCCTGAGAATCCAGAGGAGCCTGAAGTTCATAGCCACACTCCTGGTGCCCCTATCGTCCCTTGGAGGAGGGAAGACAGTGGACGAGATCCCCTCCTGCCCCAGGTGGTCCCAGAGCTCCATCTCTTCGTTGCCCCCTCACTCCACCCCCGAGGCTGGCAAAGGGAATGCAGGCCTGGGGAAGCAAGTGGGTCCCTTGGTTCTGTCTCCAGGCTCCGGCTGCTTGCCACGCCCTCTGTCAGACGTCCGGCGCCTAGGGGGCTGGTCTGGGGTCTGGGGGCGCCTCACCTCGGGTCCCCGCCAGGTGCGCGGCGGCGACACAGAGGCAGAGCAGTATCTGCAGTGACGCCATGGCCAGGTCCGAAAGTCGGAGGGAGGGTCCCAGCTCCGCTGTGCACTCGGGTCGGACTCCCGCGGGTCTGGCGGCCGCTGGGGCTGTGGATGGGGGAGGGACGCGACCGCAGGCCACGCCCCGTCCAGGCCACTCCCCGTCCAAGCAACGCTCCCGGGCCTGAGGTGACTTCGGTGCGCAGACAACCTCTTTGGGTCGCCCCCCTCGGTGCGTCTGGCTGTACCTCCGCCCTCGGGCTGGCCTGCGTCCCCTCGTCGCCGGCTGGAAGTCCCCTCCTTAGCCCACCCTCTGTTCTCCACGTCGGGAAGTGCCTCCTGGAATCGAGCCTGAAGCTGTCTGAACCTTCAATGTTTAAGCCGCCCTTTAGGCGGCTAGAAATCCTCCATCGGGTCTAACTTCGATTCTATTGGCTTTAGGCCACCCTGAGCAGCCTGGAAATCCCACCTTGAATCTACCCTCCACTCTTCTGGCTCCAGTTTTCTCCGAGGCCAGCAAGAAGTCCATTTACGTCTGCCCTCCATCCCTCCCGCCTTGGGGCCACCAGGGGACCGGTGGGAAGTTCCTCCCTGAGCTTCCCCACCCCCGCGCCAGACCCCGCGCACAGAGGAGGCCCAGGCGAGGTGGCGGTGGTACGTGTGTTTATTGGCGCGGGCCCAAGCCGCGTGGGCACGGGTGGCTGTCAAAGCGCCGCGATGCAGTCGGTGCCCGTGTACCCCGGCAGGCGCAGAGCGAACTTTCGGCGCACGTCGTCGGGCACGAACCTGCCGGCCACGAAGTGGTGGCGCCCGGAGAAGCGGCCGGCGCATTGCTTGGGCGCCGCCAGCGATACGAGCACGTCGGGTCGTAGCCCGTCCTCGGCGTCGCCGCCGGTCTCTGGGTCCCAGCCTGAGGGAGGAAGGATGGGAGGCGGGGATCAGGAGCTGGGAGGGGTGCTGGCTCTCAGACAAGAGACCTGCCGCCCCATCACCCACTTCCCCTTCCCCATCAGACACAGCCTCTGCTCTGACCCATGAGTTTGGTCAGACCTGCCTCCCATAAAACTGAGCCTCTGGGGGCTTCCCTGGTGGCGCAGTGGTTGAGAGTCCGCCTGCCGAGGCAGGGGACACGGGTTCGTGCCCCGGTCCGGGAAGATCCCACATGCCGCGGAGCGGCTGGGCCCGTGAGCCATGGCCGCTGAGCGTGTGCGTCCGGAACCTGTGCCCCGCAACGGGAAAGGCCACAACAGTGAGAGGCCCGCGTACCGGAAAAAAAAACCCAAAAAACTGAGCCTCTGCCCTCAGGCCAGTTTCTCCCCGCTCCCCGGAGATGTTTCCCTCCTCCTCTGACCAGAGCTTCTGCCTTCAGACGACCTCATTTATACGTGCTGCCCTTTCCCAATCAGACCTCTGCGTCTGCCGTCTCTATACCTCCCTGCCTGTCAACCCTGAGCTCCCCTACTTAAACTAAAGTCTCTTTCCACCCAGACCTCCCAGCCTCCTCCCAGATCCCCACTCTCTACTCAGGGGACAGACTTGCCACCATCCTCAGGCAAGCCTACCCCATCAGACCTGTCTCTTTGCCCCAGGTTCTTGCCTCTGACAAGATGTGCCCCCCGCCCCTCCCAACTTGAGCAGCCAGCCTCCTGCCTCTGACTAGAGACTCTCCCCTCTGACCTGACATCCCTGCCTTCACCTTCAGACTAGATCTTGCCTTTTGACTTGGCAGGACCCTGCCCCCTCCCTCACTGGGTTGTAGCCTCTGCCATCCCTCAAATGAGCCTCCACCCTCAGACTAGGGGCCACTAATAAGCCCTTCTGACCTAACAGGGAGACCCTCTCTGTCCAAGGCTATCTGTTCAGACAAGAGCTTGCAGCCTGTCCCCTCAGACCACCTCCTCCCTTAGACACCACCCCCAGCTCTGTGGCATCCTGCTGGTATGACCCTGGGGTCTTGTAAGCCGGGTGATGTCCCCCTGAGTCTGGCCACCCCCATGGAGGGTCTGGCTTGCCAGCAGCTGTTTGTTCCGTTCTGCCCATTGCCTAATGGCTCCAACAGGCCTGGGGCCGTGGCCAGGATGAGCGGGGCCTTTGCCGAGTGAGCTCACGTCTGCCCCGGGTGACTGGGCCAGGGTGGGCAGCGGGCACACTGTGCTGGGTGTAGGGGGGAGGGGACCCAGGGTCACACGGGCACCAGCCTGGGTACTCCCCATCCGAGGGATGGACATGACCCTCAGCCTCACCCAGAGTGCAGGATCCATCCATGCTGGGGAAACTGAGGCTCAGAGTGGGCAGACAGGCTGGGACCACCAGAAGCCAGGGTACAGGGACCTCCACCCAAGCCCTCCAGATCCTCATGCCCCCCACTCCACCTGACATGCCTGAGGGAATGTCCAGGCTCACGAGGGGGATGGACAGTAGCTTGAGCGTGGCCAGTGCACGCATGCAGGGGCCCCCGGCCTTGCCCGGCTCCACACCGGGGCCCAGCACGGCGTCCACCGCCAGTCTGTAGGCGTTGTTGATGAGCTGGACCTGGGAGGGCAGGCAGGGTCAGGGGGCGATCTTGGGGCACTGTCCCCCACCAACCCCCTCAGTTGCCACCCGAGCTGACCTCCGTGGGCAGATAGGACAGGAAGGGGATGTCCATCTTCTCACACTGGGTAGTCAGGTCCCGGTGCAGCGGGTCCAGTGAGCGTGTGGGGTAGAAGATGGTTGGTTCGTACTCCTGTGGGGAGTGGGAAGGGGTCAGCACTGGGGCCCTCCCAGGCTCCCCACTGGGCCTCTGTCCCCAGATCTGGGTACCAGGCAGCAGACACTGCCTGGCACAAGCACTGGGCATATTCTGTAACCTGACATGCCTCATCCTCCCCCTGGGACACTAATAAGAGGAGGAAGCAATTTTTTTTCAAGGATGGGTTGGGAGTGTGACCCTGAGAGGCCAAGGAAATTCTTGCTACTCACAAACACCCGCAGGTGCCGGGCACAGACCAGCCCCACTGCCCCATTCTGCTCCGGGCCGCACACGACTAGCACCGTCCTCTGCTTCCGGGAGTGGGCAGGCAAAGGGAACACCTGGCAGGGGCACAGCAAAGGCAAAGGCATGGCGTTCGGAACGTCTTACTCCAGTGGGGAAACTGAGGCCTGGAGTAGAGGATGGGATAGGGCTCAGCCCTGGAGGCAAGAGGACAGGACGGGAGGAGAGGGGCTGGGGCCTCTGGGGGCCTCAGTTTCCTTGTTGGAGACCCAGAGTCCTTGCCTCAGGCTCTGCCAAGCCCAAGCAGAAAAACGTGCCTCCTGCCACCACCCGAGCCCAGAGTGCGGTTTGTTTATTCTCGGCCTGAGTTGCAGACATTCTTCCACCTTTTTCCACTGCAGTGGCTGCCCCTCCCACCGCTCATGTTTCCAGGCCTCCGTCCCTCCCGGAGGCCCCAAAGCTGGAGGGAGTAGGGGAGGGGGGTATTTTTCCAACGCGCCATACCCTGTCTCTCTCCGTCTGTCCCTCTGTGTTGGCCTCTGTCTTCACCTCCCTGTCTTTCTCTCTGTATCTCTCAGACTCTCTACGTGTCTCTCCTCATCTGTTTCTCTCATTTCTGTCTTCGCCTCTGTGTCTCTCTTTCTCTCCATCTCTGTATCTCTCAGACTCTCCTCTCTGTCTCTGTGTATCTCCCTCTCTTTAACGCAGAAGAGTCTCAGCCTTACCCTGACTCTCTGCTTGGCCTCAGCTCACTCTCCTTCCCCAGCCTCTATCGAATGGGAGTAACAATGGCTCCGACATGCTTGTGGGGTCTCTACCAGGCCCAGGGTGGCTCCAGGGGGCCCAACTATACTCTAACCTCCAACCACACAGAGGGAAAGTTATTTCCTTTTTGAGTCTCCTCCCCAGGGCCTCAGCAAGGTCCTGACCCAACCTGGTCCTACCTATGACCCCACCACGCCATGCCCAGAGCCCCAGACCCGCAACCAAGTCAGGGAGAGTGATAACATCCAGCTGGCTAGGACCAAGGGGCCTCTGGACAAACACAGAGCTTTCAGCGCAAAAACTGGACGGTTGGTCATCAATGGCCAGGCGTGAGTTTACTACACTGGGTTTGCTTTTGTGGCTTTGATTTTCATTGTTCTCTTTTCCTCTGAGCATCTCACTCAGGATCTGTTTCACTTGGAACTAGCAACATTTAAGTTAAAAGACAATTGAGGCCCCATAAAGATATTAAGTTTTTTTAAAAGTATACAGTGGTGGGCTTCCCTGGTGGTGCAGTGGTCGAGAGTCCGCCTGCCGATGAAGGGGACATGGGTTTGTGCCCCAGTCCAGGAAGATCCCACGTGCCGTGGAGCGGCTGGGCCAGTGAGCCATGGCCGCCGAGCCTGCGCGTCCGAAGCCTGTGCTCCGCAGCGGGAGAGGCCACAACAGTGAGAGGCCCGCGTACCACAAAAAAAAAAAAAAAAAAAGTACACAGCGGTAATAAGAAGAGGAGGAAGAAGGGGAGGAAGAGGAAAAGGGTTACGTGCTGGAGCCCTGACTCAATCAGGCACTTTCTTAAGGCATTTGTGTTTATTAATTGGTGTCAGTTTATTACCCTTTTTCAGAGGAGGAAACTGAGGCCCAGCGTGGTTTGGCAACATGACACGAAACACTGGACAGTAGTATCGTCATTGCTATTATTCTTGCATCTCTTGCAGGCACCTCGAGGCCTGGGGGTTTGCTCCAGAGCCAAACATAGCTCTACTTCCAACCCCCCAGGGCCCTGTGCAGACCCCTCCCCACCTCTGGGCCTCAGTTCCCCCACCTGTGGCTGGGAGTTGTTTGCGGGTGCTCAGACTTCAGGAACTGACGTCCCCTCTGCTCAAGACCCAGGAGGTGGCAGAGGCAGGCAGTCAAGGGCCCCAGACCCATCTCTGTGGTTGCCTCCACATCTGTGGTGACCCCCGTCTCTGTCCTGACGCTCATTAACACACTGGCCTGGGCCAGTGATGATCTTCTTTGGACCTCAGTTTCCCCATCTGAGTGATGGGCTGGGGTGGCCCCAAGCAAAGAGGGGCTTCTTGAGGGCAGAAATGACCATCCTGGCCGTGGGGGTCATGCAGCTAGGCCTCCACTCTGGTGGGCTGGCCATCTGGTTGGGGTCAAGGTTGAGGATCAGGGGTCAGGTACCTTGGTCACAGCCACGGCACTAGCATGGCCGCACCACTCCACCAGCTGCTGCCGCCCGAAGCGATAATCTTCCAGCAACTCCCGCTCCAGGGCAGCTGCCTCGGCTGTGCTGGGGGTCAGAGTGGGGAGAAATGCTCAGACACAGAGAGACGGAAAGACTTAGAGACAGAGACTCAGCTGGAGCCAGAAATGTGCCACCAATGCTCTGAACCAGGCCCGGATGCCACCCCCACCCCGTGCCCAGAGCCGAAGACCCTCAGTTTCCTCATCCATCGTGCACACCGTTGAACTGAAGCCTGGAAGGCTGCGGGAGTTTTGAGCACAAGCCTGAGGCGCGGGAGCCCTCTGGTGGTAGAAGAAGTGCATGGCCGTGCATGTTGGTTCTATTGCCCCAAAGCATGGGATATAGAGCCTCACCCAGATGCCCCCAGTCCCCAAGGCAAGAGGAACCCAGAGGGGGGAATAGAGCATGAAGGACTTAGTTGTTGGAGGTGACGCGTGGATTTCAGGCAGTGAAAACCACTGAAAGGATTCTAGGACACTGGAGGTCAACTGGACTGGGGGTGCCTGTGGGGAGGAGGGTGTTAAAGGCAGCAGAGTTTTGTTTTGTTTTGTTTTTTTGGCCACCTTGGGTGTTCGTTGCTGCGCGCGGGCTTTCTCTAGTTGCGGCGAGCAGGGGCTACTCTTCATTGCGGCGTGCAGCCTTCTCATTGTGGTGGCTTCTCTTGTTGCCTAGCGCGGGCTCTAGGCGCGGGGGCTTCAGTAGTTGTGGCGCATGGGCTTAGTTGCTCCGCGGCATGTGGGATCTTCCCGGACCAGGGCAAGAATCCGTGTCCCCTGCATTGGCAGGCGGATTCTTAACCACTGCGCCACCAGGGAAGTCCAAGGCAGCAGAGTTTGATGGCTCACATGGGGAGGTGGATGTGGCGCCTGCAGCTATGAGACTCATTGGTGATCCCTCTTTCAGGGACAGTGATAAAATTCAATAATTGTGGCCAGAGAAATGGAGCCAAAGTGCTTGAGGTGAAGCTCAGCCCCCAGCTCAGTGAGTGACTGAGGTCCGTCTCATCTCTCTGAGCCTTGCAAAAGAGAAGGCAGGACAGGCTAATAATTTTCAACGTCCAGTGCAAAATGCAAATGTGGGGCCCCTTGATCAATAATTATTAAGAGTTTTAAGATGGTGACGGCAGAGCATTAAACCAAGTGTTGGGTCCTTCTAAGAGCAGGGCCCAAGCTGGTCTTGGTCTGGGCTTGGTGGCTACAGAGAGGAAGAGCTGGCTGGCATTGAGGACTGGAAGACGTTCTTCACTCCAGAATCAGGGGCTGGAGCAGCTGGGCAGGGTCTATAGCCTGACACCAGCTTCCCATAGCCAGGACCCCTTCCAGCTGGGGAACTGCACTTGCCCCCAGCTCAGCACACCCTAGAGTGTAATGATAATAATAATAATTGTTATTAGGGTATTATCATTATTATTATTATCGTAAAAGGACCAGGCCCAGAAGAGTTGGAAGAACATATAACAACTCAGATAAATAAAATGGTTTGCCCAGAGTCATGTAGGAAGCAAGTTGGAAAACTGAGCCTTCTACCCTTGGTGTCTGTCTCCAGAGCCACGGATGGGGTGTGAGCAAAGCAGAGGGAGACCTACAGATGGGTAGAGGTTTGTTGGGATGAATCCTGAGGTTCCTTTTTTTGATGCCGTGAGCAGGAGACCACAACCTTCTAGCCAATTGTACAGTGTGACCAGGCCAGGCAGCAGGAGGGGTGGAGGTGGGAAGCAAGCATTGCTATGCGATGGGGAGTCAGGGAGGGCTTCCTGGAGGAGCTGGCCTGGAGTGCTGTGGGAGGTAATCTAGGTGGCAAGAACAGTGAGGGCCGAGGCCCTGTGGTGGAAATGAACTTGGCAGGTTCAAGGGACAGAAGAGAGGCAGAGAGAGCGAGGCTGAGAAACTTGGTCAGAAAGATACTTCAGGGTCCCACACAGATGGGGAAGATGGAGGCTTAGGGCAAGGTGACATGCCTTGTCACCCCAGCGAGCAGAGCCAGATGCAACTCCCAGGTTGTCTGTGGCTGATGCTGCAGGAGGTTGAAGGACTGGGTGGGGAAACAGACCTCATGGTGGGGCCAGATGAAGAGCGCCCCCAGGACAGGCCAGCCCAGCTCCCGAGAAAGAATGTCGAAGGCGCTTTAAGAATGTGGCGGGGCTTCCCTGGTGGTGCAGTGGTTAAGAATCCCCCTGCCAGTGCAGGGGACACAGGTTCGAGCCCTGGTCCGGGAAGATCCCACATGCCGCGGAGCAACTAAGCCCATGTGCCACACTACTGAGCCTGAGCTCTAGAGCCCGCGCGCCACAACTACTGAAATCCGCGTGCCTAGAGCCCGTGCTCCGCAACGAGAAGCCACCGCAATGAGAAGCCCACACACCTCCACGAAGAGTAGCCCCGCTCGCCGCAACTAGAGAAAGCCCTCGAGCAGCAACAAAGACCCAGCACAGGCAGGCAGGCAGGCAGAATATGGCTCATTCCTCTATCTTCACCTTGTGACAGCTCTGTTGCCCCCGCAGGAGGGCTGAGGGAGGATCATGCATTCCTCTTCTTCTTTCTCTGTTCCAAAGCTTTGGCCTCTGGCCTCCACTTGGAACCTTATCTTCCTGCCTAGCCGGTCACTGGAGAGATAACCGGGACTCCACAGGCAGAGGGCAGTCCAGGCTTAGGAGCCTGAGGGTAGGGGCAGCAGCTGCTCTGGGCAGGGAAGGGGATAGGGCAGAACTGTTATGGGACTGGGGGACGGTGCTCAGTTTATGAGGGTGCCTCTTGCTTCTCCCAACCTCAGCCCCCAGATGAGAGGAGCTGTGAGGTCCCGGGATTTGCCCACCAGCCCCAGAAGGGGCAAAATGCTCCAGGAGGGGGCTTTTTAGAGATGAAGCTCTGAGGCTAGGGTGCCTGTGCCACACACTCCCTGCTTTCTCAGCTCCATCTGCTTCTCTCCACCCTCGTGTCTCTGCCCACCAGCCCTTCATCATTGCTCACCTGGCTGCCTACTGCAGTCACATCCCCCCAAACTCAACACAAGCCGAGGGGGCTTTGAAAACTTGAACACCAGATTTCACCACCCCCTGTCCCAAACCTTCTTATGGGTCCCCAGTGTTCAGAGAATATTCAAATTCCTCACCTTACTTACATGCCCCCCATTATGTCTCTCATCCCAGCCTCCTCTCCCCGTGTTCCACTCCCACCCAACACACAGCACCCCATCACTCCTTAGTTGGCATCTGAGGCCCCCCCATCCCCCACACCAGGTGAAGTCACAGCTCCAGCTTCTAAAACACTTTCTTCCCCCTGCCTAGCATGTGCTGGGTCTCTCGCTGAGTCTGGACATCAGCCAGTCGCTGCACAGGATCTGCCTTGAGAAGAGGGGCTGAGTGGACAGTGGGCAGGTGGCCGCACAAAGGACTGTGGGGTCTGGTTTACAGTGAGGTCTACAGCCCTGCTTGGGGTCCCATGTCACAAGCGCTTAGAGGACACAAGAGGATGACTTAGGACAAGGTGGAGGGCACAACCAGAGCTGCCAGCTCCAGACCCCAAATTCATCAGCCCACTGGCAAGTGGCCCCATGTATTTAAAAATCACTTTAGCCCTAGCTCAGCCAGTGGCTTCCCTCCCCAGCCTTCAGTTTTCTTCTCCGAACGAGGGGTTAGTAGCAGGCGCACTATCAAGGAGGGTGTGAGCATTTGAGGAGCTAAAAGAGCTCAGCTCTTCCCGGATGGGAGACAAGGGGCATGGGCTCCAGGGTCCCTGCGGAAGATGGAAAAGGGCGGCGGGCCCTGCTTAGGCTGTGGGTAACGGGGGAGCGACCAGCGGTGCTGATGGGCCGCTGCAGATGCCGTTTCCCTGGTAACGCAGCTTTGGAGGTGTCGGCAGCTGCAGGCTGTCTCTCCAGTGAAATGCGGATGGGCGTGGGATTCTCCCTGCCTCCCCATCCCGGCCATGCCTTTGCCTCTGATCTACAGCCCCTGGTCCCCCAGGCCCTCTTCCAGCCATGCCCCAGCCTCCCGTCCCTCCCCCCCGGCTGACCTGAGGAAACACCGCTCCTCGGGTGCCTCCGCTAGGTCCGGGCCAGCCGCGCTGCTCATGGCGGAGGTGATCTGGGCGCGCAGGCAGCCACCACCACCACAGCCTTTTAAGTGCATCCCTGGGCAGAGGGGGCGTCCTCTCTCCTCCCGCCCACCGTGTGTCCGCCAATCAGGAGACGCCGCGAAGGCGCTGTGCACAGCCGTTGGTCGGTAGGTGCAAGTGGACTTAACCCCACTGCTGCCCCAGAGGATGGCGGGAATCCCAGAGTTGCGAATATTGGCAAGAAAACAAAGTCTGGAGGGGCAGCGATGGGCCGGTTACCCCTGCTATGGGATCCTGGCTTAGGAGCGAGGGGACCCGCCTGTGCTGCGCCCCTCTCCACCCCGGTGCTCTCCTTTGCAGGTCACCCACCCACCCCGTACCCAGGTGGAGAAGCCCCCCAGTCCGAAGGGGTTGGCTGCTGACAAGCAGGGTTTCAAAAAAGGTAGGGAAAAGTCCAGGCATATTTGGTAGCCGATGCTAAAGGGTGATCCAGGGGCCACCCCATTGGCAACTTCTGCTTAGTCCCTGCACCTCCTGTGACACCCCGTAGCCCCCAACCCCCAATCACTCAGTCCCTAGGACACAGGCAGGCCAGTCTCCAGAGCGTTTATTCTCTCCTGGTAGGGAGGGAGTAGGGGTCCAGTGGTCTGAAGGGCACAGGTGCCTACGTGTACCACATGAAGCCATAGGTGGCGCGGAGAATCTCCTCGTTCGTGCGCAGCCCGTAGAGCTCGCCCATCATGGGGGTCACCCAGCGCGTTGTGTGGAACACAGACTCGCCTACCTGAGGGGACAGAAGGGTATGGGTGGCGATGCAGCTAACCCCTTAGGCCCATGCAGCCTGCTGGGACCCCACCAGGCCTGGCAGCCACTGTGCCTACACCCAAAACTGCCTTCCCCTTCTGGCACTTGACACCCACTACCCCTCAGCCCCAGGTTTTCTGTGGGAGGCTGCGTTTCTGCAGTGGCCTAGACCCCCGCCCTCCCTGCTGAGGACCCACCTTCCAATCTGGCACGTCCTTCATGACGATCGCCTCCTCCTCCAAGTTCTCCCGAAGCATCTGGAGAACCCTGCAGGGACAGGGTGGGAGGTGGGGGACAGGCCTGACCACCCTGAGGGGCCCCTGCCGAACAAACCTGCCAAACGTGTCCCTGCCCCACCTCCCCATCACCTCCTGCAGCTTTCAACCCTGCGCATGCTGACCCCTCTTCTTTCCTTTCTTCCACTGGCAGACTCTTACCGTCCTCCTGCCCAGCCCCAATGCCCCCTCCCCCAGAAGCCCTTCCATTCTCTCTTGGGTCTCTGCTGCAAATCAAGTTTGGGGCCCTCTCCAAGGACGAGGGCATCCCCTGGAGCCACGTACAAGGTCATGGCTGTCGGTCCCCATGTGTGTTCTGGCCTTATCCCACGCTGCAGGCTGCAGCACTCAGGCCTGTAACCTCCCGACCCTGGCCCCAGCAGCACACCTCCGGTCCTTCTCTGCCTGCAACAGAGGCATCAGTGCAATGCGGGCCTCGAAGTCCTCGATCTGCAGGCGCCTGTGAAACCCCGAAACCAACACTCAGACCAGACCATGGTGGGATGGGGGGTGGATGATGAGGCCCTTGGACATGCATTACCCTGGAAAGGGGTTTGGGGGAGAGGCAAGCAAGAGGGAAGGGCTTGGGCAGTGGGCTCTGCCCACCGGCAGCCTGAGATGGGGGATGAGGGGGGCATGCAGTTGACACAGGCGGCGTCAGTCCACAAGACTGCTGGCTTCACACTTTCTTTTCAGTTCAAAACTTTTTTTTAAATCCTAAAAATAGCCCGGGCCTGATGATTGCAGTGAACTGTGGGGAACGTTCATCATGGGGTTTTGGACTTTACAAAATCACATCACTTTCACCGCAAGAAACCCGTGGGGGAGCAAGCATCATGGGCAGCTCCTTTCTTCTCCCTGCTTTTTGGCATCTCCAAGCCACCAGCCCCATCTGTGCTGGGAGGTGTGGGGAGAGCGATGCCCAATGATGTGGCCCAGGGAGTGGCCTCCTGCCCTGTCCCCTCATCACCAGAAATCTCACAGCAGCACAAGGAAGGGTCTGGGTGAACTTCAGCCCCCACCTCAACCCTCCCACCCCCTCCCCATCCCCCAGGACCCAGGGTAGCAGCCCCGCTCCAGGCTGCTGCCCTCACCACAGTCACACACCGTGGTTACTACTGGGTCCCTCTGGGAGACTGGGCCTGGTCTTGCCTGTCCAATGTGGCGGCCCTAGCGTCCAGCACCCACCAGGTGCTCCTGAGTTCACTCAACAATGTTGAGCTCCCTCCACTTGCTAGGCCTCCTCCAGCACCACCTGTGCTGGGGGTGAGCAAGCTCAAGGTGGGTGCTAAGGACACAGGACACAGAGTGGGAGAGGGTGGAGGGGCCTAGCTCGTTGGGAGCCACTGAGAAGGAGCCACGTGGCGGGGTGTCCGGCAAGCTCAGAGGCGGCCAGAGTCCCAGCCAAGGCCGTTGCAGACCTGGGTCCCTCAGGCCCTGTACGGCTGGCCCGGCCACTATCTTGCATGATCTGCTTTTTAAGCCTTTATATCACCATTGCCCGGTCACCACCCACAAAAAGACAAAAACCCACTAAGAGAGTGCATCACGGGCCTGTCCCTCCACCTCCACCTCTGCTATGCTAACGTGGACCCTCGGGTACCCAGTGGTGGAGGTCAAGGGCACCCAGTAAACATCTGGCGGCGAGCTTCTTGCTTACTAGTCAGTCATTCCTTGAGGGTAAAGCCCAGAAATCGACTTGCTGTGTCAGGGCCTGCACCCCCTGAGGCCTGAGGAGTTGACAAGGGGCCCCGAGGTACACTAAGTCCACAGGCACACGTCCCCACCCTCCCATCCTCACCAGCGCAGGGCCTACCTGCGTTCGCGGTTCCACTTCATCATGCTCCAGTACCCAAACAGCAAGGTCCCGATGCCCACGGCGAACATGCTGTAGCCTGTGGGGAGAGGGGGCGCTGCTCAGCACCTGCACGTGGGACAGGCCACCTTGTCCTTTCTTCTCCTGAAGCATAACCCACTCACTGTGCAAATACTCCAGTAACATGAATGAGGGAGAAGGCAAAAGCCCTCACGAACCCCCTGCCAGAGATGGCCGGTACCATCTCTAATACCTATTTTTTCAGACTACTTTTTTTTGTCTCTGTGGAAAGTCCACTGGCCCCCCTCCCTTGGACACCCCCCCCCCCCCACAGCTGCAGCCCACTCTTTATCCCATTCATCCACTCTGCGGGCAGGGGCACCAGGCTGCGAGGCTGCTACACCTCTGCCCCCATGCCAGGGTTCCTGGAAGGTACAGGACGGGCAGAGACTATGAAAGGGCCTGAGGGCCTAAATGTTTATGGCTGGGTGGCCCTGGCCCCGCCACTGACTAGAAGGTTGTTTGGTTCCCTTCAGCCAGCTGGTCCCCGTGGGGAAGGACGGTGTCCATGCTGGGTCCCAGCTGCCTGGGCCACCTCCCTGTGTGCTGCCCACAGGGGGCTGGATGGGGCTGCTGGAGGCAGGCAGTGCCCTGCAGGGGCTGCCCAGCCACCCCCTGGGCTCCCAGGTGCTGCTTCCTCCCGGCCCAGTGGGGTGGAGCCCCTTCCCGGGACCCCAGGAGACAGAGGCTGAAATGAATATTTACTGAGAACCCGTGGGCACCTGTGCTGTAATTCTGACTGACAGGCCGTGGGCCTGCTGGGGTCTTCAGGGAGGTCTGGACGCTTGGGGCCTGGCTGGGGCTGGCTCGTCCTGCACCACCTCATCTTTCAAGCCTCAGGCTCTCCTCTGGACAGAACTCGTGGTTGCTGGGATGAATTGACAAGCTCAGCCAGACCGAGCTCCATTTAACACCCAGTAAAGGACCGGCAAATGGTGGGTAAAGCCACTTCCTGGGACTCGTGGGGGGACAAAGTGGGGGCTCTTTCTTCTTCAGCTTGTCTCCAGCACAACGCTCCTCTGGCACCTCTGTTGGACCCAGAGATAAATGAAAAACTGGCTCAATTTTTTAATCCCTTTAGTTCAACCTGTTAAAAACATGAGCTCAGGGTAAGGCACTTCCATGTTCTGGGGGACAAGGTAGCGAGGGCACCGTGGTTCCTGTGCTCAGAAGTAGGACCTCTCCTGAGAGGGCCGAGTGCCCAGGACCAGTCCGTAGTGCACTCGTGGCTCTCCCACAATGGCTGACCACCTGTGCTGGGCACTCAACGTTCTTTCCATTGGGTGCGAGTGTTTCATCAGAGCCGCCCGTTATTTGCAACAGCTGCAGAGAGGCCCGGGGCTGCTTCTTCCGACCCAGCCCCAGGGAAAAGACTGAGAGACTGTCTTTGTGAGGACCTCTTGCCCTCAACATTGGGCACCCATGTGTGGGCCCATCTGTAAGATAAATTCCAAGACTAAGGTAAGGTGGCCTTTAAGATGATGCAGCTCTAACTCATCTATTCCTCATTGACAGTGGTGAGGCCGAGGCCCCAGGCCTTCAGGGGGTGTCTGTGCCTCCAGAGCTGCCAGTCTGGTGGGAGAGGCCAACGAGGGGCATGCCCAGAAGGGGGTGCGGGCCACGTGTAAAGAAGACCTGAATGAATAGAAACGCATCCTGTGTTCATGGATCGGAACTTAACATTGTTCAGATGGCAGCACTCTCCAAACTGAGGTACAGATTCAACAGTCCCCATCAGAATCCCAACCTTCCCGCCCCCAGTCCCACAGAAACTGACAAGCAGATCGTGAAATTCATATGGAAATGCAAGGGACCAGAATAGCTGAAACAATTCTGAAAAAGAAGAACAAGGTTGGAGGACTCTTCAAACTTATCACGCAGCTGTGTGTACAAGACAGTGTGCCCTGGCATAAGGATAGACATGTACATTGATGGAACAGAGCTGAGAGTCCAGAAATAAACCCTCACATTTATGGTCAATTGATTTTGGACGAGGGTGCCAAGATAATTCAATGGGGACAGAACAGTCTTTTCAGCAAATTGGACCACTGGATAGCTACATGCAAAAGAAGTGTGCTCCTTCCTCCCTCCATACACAAAAATTAGCTCAAAATGGATCAAAGACCTCAATGTACTAAGAGCTAAAACATAAAACTCTTAGAAAACAGAGAAGTCATTCTCTGTGACCCTGGATAAGGCAATGGTTTCTTAGATACGACACCAGAAGCACAAGTGACAAAAGAAAAAACAGAACTGGACTTCGTTGAAATTTAAAACTTTTGTGCTGCAAATGACACCATCAATGAGCTGAAAAGACAACCCACAGACTGGAAGAAAGTATTTGCAGATCATATACCTGATAAGGGAATGGTATCCAAAATATATAAAGAACTCTTAAAACTCAATAATAAAATGACTAACCACCCAATTAAAAATGCATAAAGGATTTGAATAGAAATTTCTTCAAGGAAGCTATACAAATGGCCAATAAACACATGAAAAGATGTTCAGCATTGTTAGTCCCTAGGGAAATGCGAATCAAAGCCACACTAGATACCACCTCACACCTACTAGGATGGCTAAAAGTTTTTTAAATGGAAAGTAATTAGTGTTGTCCAGATGCAGAGAAATTCGAACTCCCGTACATTGCAGGTGGGAACGTAAAATGGTACAGCCAATTTGGGAACAGTCTGGCAGTTCCTCACAATGTTAAATAGGGAGTTACCATATGACCCAGCAATTCCACTCCACCTCAGAGAAAGGAAACATATGTTCACACAGAAACCTGTACAGGAATGTTCACAGCAGCACTGTTCGTAACAGCCAAAAGGTGGAGACAACTCAAATGTCCAACAAGTGGTAAATGGACACACAAAATGTGGTCCATCCATACAAGAGTATTATTCAGCCATAAAAAAGAATGAAGCACTGAAACACTACAACATAAGCATTAAAAACGTGCTGCGAAAAGTCACACAAAAAGGACACAGAGTGAATGATGCCATTTATATGAGAGGCAAATCCACAGAGACAGAAAGCACTAGCTTGTCGGGCTGGGAGAGAATGTGGAGTGACTGCTAACGGGTAGAGCATTTCTTTTTGGGGTGATGAAAATGTTGTAAATTTAGATCATGGTGATGGTTGCATAACTGTGAATAGACTCAAAATTGGTGATCTGTACACATGAAATGGGTGAACTGTATGGTATGGCATGTGAATCTCAATAAAAATGTTAAAGATACCAGAAAAAAAGAAAGGGCCACTCACTGGGTGCAGGTGGGAGTGGAGAGAGGAGAGCTGGGGGTGAGAGATAAAGAGAAAAGGTGGAGGTAGCAGTCACTTCGGTAGCAGCATGGATTAAAGGCGGCCTGAGCCAGCTTGGCATGTTCTGGGATGTTGGCGCTGAGTGGGCCACGCAGAGAAAAGGGGAGTCGGTGCCAGGCTTGGGGCCACAGTGCCTTGACAAGAGCAAGACTGATTGGGAGAGGGCAGCTGTGGATAAGGCTGGAGGACAGAGGACGAGGGCAGGGTGCAAGACAGACTGTAGGGCCTTTGCATTTACTGTTCCCTCTGCCTGGGGAAATCCTTTTCAGAGAGGTCCTTTCGCCCATTCTGGCTAAAGCAAGCCCCAGTTATCCTAGGCCTCGGCACTGACCATAATGGGAAATTATGGAGTGATGTGTCTGTCTCCTCAGCTAAACAGTGAACTCCTCAGGACACAGTCCAGCACCACGGATGCACTCAACAATTACTAAATGCAGGTACATAAACGAAGACCACATCCCAGAAAGGAATGTGGTCTTATATTCCTCACCCCTCTGCAACCAGGAAAGACTGGGGTGGGTCTGTATGTGCTGCAATGAAAGTTGGTGTCAAGGGCTGTGATGGGAGACCCAACCCCAACTGGTGGTATCTGAGGCACACGGGAGGCACTGCTGTATTATTAACTGGAAGAGGACCGGGATATGGGCCACATTTGTCGCTTAAAAATGAAAGAGATGCTGACTGTGGGAAGCCCAGGGAGACCCAAGGGCTAGGGTCCTTCTGCAGCCTGGTCACAGAACTATCCATGTGTAAAAGACCTCATGTCACACACCCAAGGAGTGCACTGACCTGGGTGTCAAGAAGAGACTCAAAGATCGCTTTATATTTGTTGAATCTAGGAATGAGTCTAGAGTCGAGTGCCCATGTGGTGCCAAATCTAGTCTGTAACCTGTTTTTGTATGTCCCTCGGGCTAAGAGCACTTTTAGGTTTGCAAAGCTGTAAAAAGAAGCAGCAATAGTGGATAAAGACCATCTGGCAGAGAAAGCACGAACTATTTATCTGGCTCTTTACGGAAAAAGTTTGCCAACCTTTGTTCTGGATTAGAAAAAAGCCAAGAAGGGGCAGGGGAAGACCTGAGTTTTCACCTGACAGTAACTTTTCTACTGTCTGAATTATAACTTTTTTTTTTGAAACCATGCCCATGAATTTTTTTGCTTTTTAATTGAGGCATAATTTGCACAACATGCGCACGGTTAAATGTAAAGTTCAATGACTTGCAACAAAGTATTCATTCTTAACTCGTTTTACATTTTTTGTATTTCTCTGTTATCCTTGGGTGCAGAGTATGGGCGCCTTTTACTTTCTCGCTTACATTTTTTTGTGTTGAACCCAATAAAAAATTTTAAAACGTCACTTAGAACCCTTGACAATTTTAAGAACACATAATTCTGGGATAGCCTGAAGTTGGCGGCCACCAGAGAGGAACCACTGCACGTAACATCTTCTTTTTTTTTTTTCAGAACATCTTTTAAATTCCCTCGGTATTCCGGGTTTCGGCCCCAGCTTTGCTCTGGGTGGCCCCGTGGGGAGGTCGCATCCTCTCTCGGGCCTCAGTTTCCCCACCTGTGAAACCGGAACGTGGCGGAAGGATCGCGGCGCGGGCTAAATTAACCTCAGTTTCATCAATTGTAAAATGGGAATAATTAACGGGACCGACCTCTTGGGCTGTTCCGAGGAGGCAAAGGGCTTAGTAAATGCTCGACAAACTGCAGCAGTTGTCGTTATTGTTAGTACTGAAGCTGTTGGGGATCCTGGAACTCCGCTTCCCGTCATACGGAGAGGGAAACTGAGGCCCGCTAGACTCCCCGGCGTCCCGACCCCGCCGAGGCACCCAGAAGGCCCAGACCCTGACACCCCGGCGCAGGGCGACACTGACCCGACAGTCCCCGACGCGGAAGGTTCCGCTTGTAGTCGATAAGGCCGTAGCCCCCCAGCGGGGGCATGTCCTGCTTCACCTTCGACGCCGCCATACTTACAGGACCCTGCACTTCCGGTCGCGGGAGGAAGTTACGCAACGGCGACCAACGCCATGATGAGTGTGGCGGAAGCTGCCGCGCCGGTCTCGGACACGGCTGCGAAACCTAGGGCGCTGGTGCACCTACCTACCCCGGTGCACCTGCCTACCCCAGTGCGTGGGAGAGCTCGGATAGCTGGGCCCGGGATCGACTGCACGCCCCAGCTGCGGCCGTAGAGTCCTTATTTTCTCTTCTCCCACATGGGGCGTGGCTTAGTCGGTGTCAAAGCCTGCAGCCCGTCGGGTCGCCAGGGTCCTTGCACCAAAGGACCACCCATTCACCTTCCCTCTGGGGCGATGTGCAGGCCAGTTAGAAACCCTCAGGTCTCTTCCCCATTTTCTCCCCCTCGGGGGGCCCTGTGGGCAGCCCAGGGCCCCACAGGGTCAGGGCTGAGTACAGAAGTTGGGGGACGGCTGCTACTCAGATTCGGACTCATGAGGAGCCGCCCCAATCCCAGGCACGGATTCCACTCCCCGTGGTGGTCGGGACTCCTTGCTAGTGTCCTCTCATCGGGAACTGGACCATTCAGCGTGATCATGAGTCACAAAGCCCTAGCTAGGGCCTTGGGGGGCACCACGGGGCGGGGTCTGGGGCCCCACCCCCCCACCCCGAGGCGGGGTGACGCCCGCGGTCACTTCACAAGGCAGAAATTGTTACCTAGGCAATAAAGGGCACCGCGGCGGTGGGGGCCCGGGAGTGGGCACATGGGGGTGGGGGTGTGCAGGTGCCAAGTGCCATGGGTTAGGCCCGAGATAGGAGTCCGGCCGCCCACCGACAGCAGCCGCCTCCTGCTCCCCACGCGCTTCAGGCGCCACCATGTCGGGCGACAAGCTTCTGAGCGAACTCGGCTATAAACTGGGCCGCACGATAGGCGAGGGCAGTTACTCCAAGGTGAAGGTGGCTACGTCCAAGAAATACAAGGGAACGGTGGCCATCAAGGTGGTAGACCGGCGGCGCGCGCCGCCAGACTTCGTCAACAAGTTCCTGCCACGCGAGTTGTCCATCCTTCGGGGCGTGCGGCACCCGCACATCGTGCACGTCTTCGAGTTCATCGAGGTGTGCAACGGGAAGCTGTACATCGTGATGGAGGCGGCTGCCACCGACCTACTGCAGGCCGTGCAGCGGAACGGGCGCATCCCCGGGGGGCAGGCGCGCGACCTCTTCGCGCAGATCGCCGGTGCTGTGCGCTACCTGCACGACCACCACCTGGTGCACCGCGACCTCAAGTGCGAAAACGTGCTGCTGAGCCCTGATGAACGCCGCGTCAAGCTCACCGACTTCGGCTTCGGCCGTCAGGCGCATGGCTACCCCGACCTGAGCACCACCTACTGCGGCTCGGCCGCCTACGCGTCGCCCGAGGTACTCCTCGGCATCCCCTACGACCCCAAGAAGTACGACATATGGAGCCTGGGTGTTGTGCTCTACGTCATGGTCACCGGGTGTATGCCCTTCGACGACTCCGACATCGCCGGTCTGCCCCGGCGTCAGAAGCGCGGCGTTCTCTACCCCGATGGCCTCGAGCTGTCTGAGCGCTGCAAGGCCCTAATAGCCGAGTTGCTGCAGTTCAGCCCGGCGGCCAGGCCCTCCGCGAGCCAAGTAGCGCGCAACTACTGGCTGCGTTCGGAGGACTCCGGCTAGAAGCCGGAGTTCCCACCATTCCCGCCGCCCCGAGCACTGCGCAAGCGCAGCGCACGCGCAAGAAGCGCGCTTCCGGAGTTCCGCGAAGCCGCCGCGCAACACTGCGCACCCGCCCTTTCCTCTTTCCCACTTCGACGCCGTGGGCGGCAGTCGACCCCGTTTGGAATTCAGTTCCTCCGCCACGATCCCAAGAGAAGAAGCTTCCTCGGTTCCCCGAGAGAAGGCCCCCGGGAAGGGGCTGGACGAGAGGAGAGGGAAACGTTGCCCCCGTGCGGAATGAGCGACCGCTACGCGGCGGGCAGTGGCTGCTTGGAGAAGCTGCTGGCGAGCGGACGCGCGCGGAGGGCGTCTGTCCACAGCCAGCCGCGCATGCTGGTGAGGGACGGCGCGCTCCAGGCGCTGCCCCCCTTGGAACTTGCAATAAACTCGCTCTTTCTCGCACCTGGCTCTAGCGACGGCCCCCTTTTACGAAGCTGGGGGGAGGGGATCGCTCCCTGGGAGAAGGCAGGCGCGGGCGCCCCATTTTAGAGAAAGGCTTGTAGAGGTTCTTGCTACAGGTCTGAAAAGGGAGTTGGAAGGATTCGAACCCAGACCTTTCGGGCTCCCCATCTTGGGCAGACTCGAAGGGGCTTTGGAGTCGTCCCCGGCGTCGTAATGCTCCTGGGAATGGAGGTGCTGGACTAGGGAGCAAGAACCCCAGCACCCTTATGGTGTTTAAGGATGGTACAGCAAGGGGCGGGGGTCGCCTGTCCCTACAGAAACAGCATTTGCAAAAGAGAAAATTGATGCCCACACCGGTATCACTTGCCCAAGAACAGCCAGGATTTGCACCCAGATATGTCTGAAGTGGGGTGGGGAGGTGGTGGAAGCTCTCCTTAGTGAGGGTCCCTTCCTTGGTGAGGGTTAAGAGCTGCGGGGAAGAGTCGAGGGTGGGGCATTTGTCTGAGGGTTCATTCTTTACTCTGTTCATTCATGCATTTTTTTTGAGCGCCTGCTGTGTGCCAGGCTCTGGGACTCAGCCAAATGGCTTGGATTCATCCCTGCTGTCAGTGAAGGGAGCAAGTGAAAAGTAAAATAAAAGAATGGCGTGAAAATAAAATAATTGTAAGTTGTTGCTAAATGCGAGGTGGGGGTGAGCAAGGAGGGACTGAAGGGAACGCCATTTGAGCTGAGCCGGGAAGGAATCAAACACTGGAAACAGCAAAAGGAGTGTTCCAAGTGTTCCCAAGACAAGATGGAGCTGGTGTGTTTGAGTAATGCTAGGAACTCCTGTAGCTGGAATGGAGGGGGAAAGGAGGTGGAGAGGTAAAAGGTGTGTGTCTGGAGAGGGACCCCACAGGGCCTGGGGGAGATTGGGGGTTATTTTGCCTGTGATGAGGTTACTGGGTTTGGTGACAGTGGCTGTTGTCATTTGGGGTGTATGGGAAACACCTCCTTAGGCCCTTATCCTACCTGCCTCCACCAGAGCCCCACAGTACCTGAGGAGGGTGGTCATTTATGGGTCTGACCATACCCCACCCCTTGCTCCCTTACCCTCCATAGCTCTCAGGTGCCCTGGGGATTATGTGCCACCTCTCCCCTCACTCCCTTCAAATAGGCTGTGGCCCCAACCCCCTCATTTTGCAGAGGAAGAAACAGGCTAAGAAAGGGGAAATGACTTGCTCACTCAATAAAACCCACATCCTTCTCCCCTTGCCCCCAAGGTCCAGCCACACTACTCTCCTTTGTCCTCAACCTGCCTTGCTTGGTCTCACCTCTGAGGCTTTGCACAGGCTGCTCCCACTCCCTGCACCACTTTTCCCCTCCCTTCACGCGAGACTTGGCCTAAAAAGGTCACCTCCCGTGATACCCCATTCTTTCCCTCCTCACCCTTGTCTCAAGGTGTGATCCCAATGCCTGGGGCATGGCACATGCCTTTTTCTGTCCACTGATTGATCTGTGTAAGCAATGGGCCTGGGGTCCTCCTGCCTCACGGCCACACCCACAACTCAGTTCAGAGGGGACAAGGTCTCAGGGACCAGGGCTGGTGTCCCATTTGTTAGCTGGAGAAGATGCATGAGACTTGCCCTCTGTCCACGGAGGAGCTTGTGCCTAATCCAGCAAAGACTCACTTGAAGGCTGGCCGTGGAACCCCGGAAGTGGGCTTCTCTCAGCCAGTGTCGGGGTGTGAGGCACCAGTCATTATGTGTCACGGGTGGAGCAGGACAGGGTTGCGTTTAATTTCAGTCATGTCTTGTACCAGTTCTATGCCTTGCCCAGGCTAGTCATGGCCACTGGGGAGGCTGAAGGCAGAGATGCCCCAATAACAAGAAACAGCAAAATATATAAGTAGGGCTTCCCTGGTGGCGCAGTGGTTGAGTCTGCCTGCTGATGCAGGGGACGCGGGTTCGTGCCCCGGTCTGGGAGGATCCCACGTGCCGCGGAGCGGCTGGGCTCGTGGGCCGTGGCCGCTGGGCCTGCGCATCCGGAGCCTGTGCTCCGCGGCGGGAGAGGCCACAGCAGTGAGAGGCCCGCGTACCACAAAAAAAGAAAAGAAAAAAAAAAAGAAAGAAAATATATAAGTAAATAAAAGCACCTAGGAAAACAGGGTGACATTTACTGCGCATTGGAATTCACCAAAGTGCTTACAAGTCTCATTTTTGTGAATAAAATTTTGAAAGTGTGTCAACCTCTGAAAACAAATTTTCACCAGAAATTGTTCATTTCGGAGCCAGCCGGGTGGCTCCCACCCTCTGTGCTTAGAATCTACACCTGCAACATCATGTCCTGCAGCAGACACCCAATGCCGTGCCAATCCAGAAAAGCCCACCACTCTGGGGTGGCGGCTGGTGATGGCTAGCTAGGAGACAGGCCGATGGGCAAAACCCACTACATTCTCACTGCACTCCCCCAGCGCTGTGGGTAAACGGGCCACAAAGCCCCAGGTTCTGGTGGAAATGGAGGCCCAGAAGCAAGGGTGCGGAACCCAGTTGGGGGAAAAACTAAATACCCATGACAAGTGAGGCCTGAAAGAAGCCCAAGAAGGTGTCCTCTCCTTTCCTTTGCCTCCCCGTCAACCAAGGGTCACCCTGCTGTCCCTTCCCAAGTTTCCAAGCTGCCCCAAAGCCGCGACAAAAACGTGGGATACCAGGGCTGAGGGGACAAAAAAAAAAATACAGCCAACACAACATCCATTTCTTTATTGTCCTTCAGATTCTAAAACTTCCTCATGACACAATGTATAGCCATTGATTCCAGCGTCTTTGTTTACTGGAACTTCTGTTCCGGTTTGGTGGGAGATTATTTTTTTAAACATTTATTATCAAAGACTTAGAGTCACAATAAATACAAGTGACAATCTCCTCCCCCCAACCAAAACAAACCATCTCCCAAATACCCTACACTAGTGTGACTATTATACTTTTCTTTGTTAAGGATTATAAAACTTTAGCTGTCCTTTAAGAAAAAAAAAAGCTCAGTCCAAGTTCTTTAGGCAAACGCCATGTGCAGCATAACTAGGCATCAAAGAAAAACCCTATGGCAGAGCAGCAAGGACTGTCTTTCCCATTATTTACACCCCTGTGATAATGTATTATTTATATAGAAAACTCCTCCCCGTGTCTCTCCGCCCACAGGAGAGTGATTTGTGGGACACAGGAGCCACAGGATGCAGCAGGGGTGTACTGTCACCTCTTTCATTCCCTCTGCACTGGAGTGAGCTTTTGCTTCCTGAAGATCTTATAGTACAGACAGGACCAGAGCCGCGCCCTGCCCCACCCCCGGCCCCCACTCCCCACCTCCCGGGGAGAGGCCACTGTTGACCTTGTCAAAGGTGTGGGTCCCAACAGTACACATGGGACATTGAGGACTGGAGTCCCCATGACATGGTCAGGATGGCCACAGCCGTGGGCAGCTCCAAGTGGACGCACAGTTATCTGTGAAAGCATCCACGTGCACACTCGGGCCCACACAGGCAGCCACTTCAGATGGGGAAGTGAGCTTGGTGAACCCCACACCCGAGTCCACAGAACAGCTGACGTTTTGAATAGTTTCCAGTTGCCATCGGGGGTTCCTGTCACAGATTCCCGGGCAGTTACAATTGTCATTTGGGACTGGAGGCTCCCACATTCTCTGGTTCTCCTGGGAACCAGATCCTCTCAGCCTACAAACTCCCAGAACTGTAGCCAATTTTGAGGCGTGGGCTTTGGGGCTGGGAGAATACCCTTAATGTTAATATCCTTCCCGTATTCAGAGAGGTATTTAATGCCTTTTCTTGCAACATTATAAATTTCATCACAGAACCATGCACTTGAGGCTTATAGAAGTTACACTGCAAAGGGGAAATTAAAGGAAAAAAGGGGGGAGATAGAAGCTTTGAGACAGTAGAAATGAAGATTAAGGCATCTCACGTTCTTGACCCCCTTTTAAAAAGCTACATTTATGTCACAGTATGTCCTACTATGGGAATGTTCCTGCAAATGCTGGGCTGCAGGAGGCAGAGACAGGGTCAGGGCCCGGCCATCCCATCCTCCGCCTGTGGTGGTCAGTTTGTACTGAACTCACGAGGCCTATTCAACAGCCTGGAGAAGTCTGGCCAGGTGAGGTGAGGAGAGGTGGTTCCTGAGCATAGTGGAGAGTGAGGTTCTGATGGGGACGGGGCTCGGGGCCAATGCAAGTGGCTCAGTTTGAGCCCTGGAGTCACAGACCCAGTCAGCCCCCGCGGGGGTGCAACAACGATGGTGCACCCCCAGTGCAGAGGTGACCTTGGCCCAGACGCCTGAGTTGCTGCATAGGACTGAGGTCAGTTTGCAGGGGAGGCCAGCGGGCACTCCTTCTTGGAGGATTTGGAAAATTTGGCCCATGTCATTGAACAGAGAGAGCTAACAGCTCAGAGTAGTATAAGACAGGTATTTATTTGCCAGGCACACAGAAAAATGAGAGGAATAGAAATGCTTGCATACTCTTGATTTTTTGGTGTAAAAACACACCCTTCCCCGCTCCCCCACCCCTCCTGAAGGTCAATTTCCCCTTTCCCCCAAATCCCTGGATCTTGGAATGAAAGCCACCCTTCTCCTGCCCTCCCCTCCTTCAGCCCATCTACATTATGTACTCAAAACAAAAATCAATGAAAAATTTAGGATTTTACACAACAAAAAATTAGAATGCTTTGGAAAACTAGTTCTACGGCATGTCAAAAATGTCCTCTAAACACTGATAGTCACACAACATGGGGGGGGGGGGCGCGGCGGCGGTTAAATGAGCCTTTATTAGAATGTTGCAGCAGTGTATTCGAAGAAGGTGGCCCTACAAAATAAGGATTTTAAATTAAGTCCCTAACTGCATGGATAGTAAAACCAGGGCTGGGGCTGAAGTGAGGAGCAGCATACCCCATCTACACACGCGTGTGCGCATACACATGACACCCTCACACCTGCACAGAGCTGGCCCATGTGCAGCACACACACAACAGCTTCTGCCTTTCCTCATGGACCGATTTTTAAGGAGTGGGAGAAACCAAAACACAACACAACTAAAAGCAGACCTGATCCTTTGTAAGACATTTCTGTAGACTCTAGCGGGGGGCTTAAAAAAAAAAAAAAAAGTCTGAAGGCAAACCCTGGCAGCATGGCCCTGCTTTAAGGGAAGGTTCTAAACTAGACCCAAACATGAACCCTGAAGTCTGGGGTGGGGGTGCAGGGGCGCCTCCCCACCCAGACACACCTGACAGAAGCACAGGCCAGGGCTTAGGATGTTGTCCATCAAAGTAAGTAGGAAAAGAAAAGAATTTAATAAAATAAACCACCACAACAAAAAAACACAACAGCCAGCCCCTCCAACTTCCCGCTCAGGCTCTGGATGTTGCTGCCGATTCTCTCCTCCCTACTCTGTTGACGGTTCTCGGCTTCCAGGATCCCGGGCTCTCTGGCTGGGTCCGGGTTGCAGTTTGTTCTTCTGCTTAAGTGTGGAAGGTCGGGGGTCTCTGGGACGAGCAGCAGCAGAGGCCTTCTGCTGGAGCAAGGGCTGGGTGGTCAGAGGCCCACCCTCCAGGGCATGGGGGCCGTGCTTGGCAGGAAGGTCTGCACGGTTTACATTAAACTCCATCATCGTGAGGTGATTTAAAAAAAAATCTGTCAACCTAGAGATTGCCATGAAGGAAGGCAGTCAAAGATTAGGAGGCTAAGACAGAGGGAAAAGCAAAAACAAAACAGAATGCTCCGCTCAACTTCAGAAGCCCCGGGCGCCATTGCCCGAGTGTGTCACAGTGTCTAGGGTGAGCCGTCCATGTGCCCTTCAGGGGGCCGAAGGAGAGGGCGAGGAGCAGAACCAGCCCCCAAGGTCCGCTTTTCTGCTGGTGTTGGGCAAACTAAAGGCAAAGAAAGGAAGAAAGCCCATGGGAAAGGTCCCCAGTAATAATCCTGGTCCACCTATGAAGTGGTCCCCCCACGTCGATGAGACTTTGCAGCCAAGATCGGAACTCTCACTTCCGCAGCGCGGCCGGCGCTTACTCGCCCTCTCGGGGAGCAGGGTGTCTTCCCGAGTGGAGGGTGGTGGGGCCAGGTGGGAGGGAGGAGGGAGCCTGTTCTCCACTGGGCCCGGCTCGCACTATTTCCACGTGGCCGACTGGGGGATGGAGCGTGGCGGGATCATGTCCAGGAGGTACTCCCGCTGGCGGTCCACAGCTGAGGAGGTCTTGTGCACCGCCAAGCTCGGGCTGACAAATGCAAGGGCCCCGCCTGCAACAGAACAGAGCAACAGGCCACAACAGCCCCAGTCAGGGGGAGGCTCCTGGGAGGACCCCAGCCTCAGCTGGGCCCACTGAGCAAAGGTGGTTCAAATACCAGCCTTGAAGCTGAAGAGAATTTAATAACTCAATTGCTTTTACAATGTTCCCAGCCTCTGCCACGGTAACCTTACACGTGGGGCAATAATCAGAGATTCTGTCATCTATCGGAACTATGAAAACTGAGTTGTTTACTACAGTACTACACAGAACACTGAAAAACTGCAAATGACTGAGCTGTGCAACTGAGCGATCCAGTATGATGCAATACTATGCAGTCATTACAACTGATCCTGTCCTCAAAGTTTTTAATGATATGGTAACATTCTCTCATTAAAACATTAAGAGGGACACAGAATGCTAAATACAGCATGATCCCTCTGTAAGGTACTTCCTATTTTTTATTATATATGTGCTGGCATTTACACATGTGTGACATGTGAGTGAAGAGGTGGAGGGGGGGTGGGGAGGAGAAACTCCTGAAGTGCAGCATTTGTTCTCCTGGGGCTGACAATGGCCACTGCCATTATCTTCTCTTTTTGTATTCTCCAAATTTCCACAATGAACAAGTATCACTTCTTTTTTGGGGGGGTGGGGTGGGGGGAGGGCAGTGTACTGCACGGCTTGCAGGATCTTAGTTCCCCGACCAGGGACTGAACCCAGGCCCCAGCAGTGAAAGCGCCGAGTCCTAACCACTGGACAGCCAGGGAATTCCCCAAGTATCACACACCCACACCCACCCTGCCCCCCACCGCCCCACCCGCCTCCAACCGGCACACTTAGGTTTTGGGCTGGCCTGCGGGAAAGGACTGCCCTGGAGTCTCAGCTGCAGCAGGGACCAGAGTCGCTGTGTTACCCAGAAGTATTTTTGGTGGGTTAATATATTTTGTGGAATAAATGTTTCAAAGTCAAATGCACCACAGAACCCTCCCTGTGCATCCAAGGCCAGCACTCCAGAAACCTGCTGCTAGGTCCTGCCCAGAAAGCCACCATCCAGAAACCCAGGGCAACCAGGAGTCCAAGCAGAACTCTTCTGAGAAATGCTGCTCTTCAAGCCATGACACTTTCATGTCTAATCCCACAAATCGTTGAACACAGCAACTATTTATTCCTTCAGATTCTCTTTCGAATGTCACCCTTAATACGAAGTTTTTACATGGTACTATCACTGTGCATACACGCGTACTCTCATATTTGACTTTCCCCACTTATCTCATGTACTTTCAAATTTCCCAGAAAAGGAACTTCTGACCAGTCTATGAGTTCTTAGCTGTAATCTTAAACATGCTGAACAAAAGTATCTCTGGTTTGTTTACAAATGCTCTCTGCTCTCCAGGAGGGCCAGATTCTTCTGCAGTTGGATGAACTCCCCTGAGCTCACTCTCCTCTAGAAGGCTCTGACATTTGGGCATGTTTATAACTCATGGTCAGCTGCATGCACAGCCGGCTTCTGTGTTTTGTTTCCACCAACAACCCAGACTTCCCAGTTCTGACTAGTGAGACGGATCTCATGATGGTGCCTCTTCTTCCTAGAGCAACCCCGGCGTGGGGGTGAGGAGGGAGACGGGACACTTGGTCCAATGAGACCTCTCACCCATCTCCTCCTCTCAGCTCTTTGTGCCTACATTTCACTGTCCAATTACTGACGGACACAAGACACATTTAACTTTCATCCTAAGGCCGGCACATAAATAATAAAAAACAGGACAAATGGTATGGGGGATGACCCAAGGACAACCCAGGGAAGGTGGGGCTGTGGCAGACTGGGGAGTGACCACCTGAGGGTCTCCACCTCCCCCGGTTGTTTCTCAAATGCCATCTCCTCAGAGGCCTTTGTTGCCTACCTCAGTTGAAATCTCAGCCCCCGCCCAAGGGTCCCCCTCCTCCTGCCTGCTTTCTCATTCTGTTTTGCACTTTGTACCATCTGACCTGTCTAAGCCAGAGGGGCTGGGAAGAGGGTGCCCAGAGAGCAGGGAATGAAGGACACTGGGTGAGCAAGAAATGAAGTCAGTGTGCCGCGAAAGGTATCAATACACTGTAACAGCAGAATCAGACATTCTCTATGGCTGGAAGGGAGAGGGGGTGAGTTGGCAAAATGAGCATCTATGCTCACAGGGTCCACTGACGGCGCGGGGGCACTGCCTGAACGGGTTCTGTCCCCCATTTTGGGTCAAGAGCTGAGAGTTTGGGTATAGAGGGTGGAGACACCGAGGGTGATTAGTATTTATCCAGGGCTATCACTTGTTCAGGGCATCCTATTTAGTGAACAGAAGGGATGAAGCTGAAGAGTCTGAGGCAGCACATCTGCAGGTTCAGGGCCCTTTTGTGCCATTACCTGTGCGTGTGCACGTCTTTGTTAAAAATAAGGAAGGGATGGACCCAACCCCAGCGAGGTCCCTACTCCGAGCCCCACGGGGTCTGCCCACCTGTACTCAGGGGCGCCTTCTTCCAGTTGGAGGTGGCGTTGCCCTTGCCAGCGCTCACGGCTCTCTCGGAATGTCTGCCGGTCCTGCTAACGAGGGCTGTGGCCGAGGCTGCATTCTGCAGTTTGGGTGACTGGCTGAACGTGTGCAGGATGCCTCGGGGCGTTGTGGCCGAGCCCCGGGACAGCTGGCTGGAGGCCTACAGTGGAGAGAGGGTGCAACAGCTTGTGTGGGGAAGGGGGCAACAGAGGGCAAGATGCTCAGCGCAGCCGCTCCTTGCTCTGGCTGACCTCTTCCCACCCACACGGGATCCCTGAAGTCCAAAATCAGGAGACTAGGTAAGTTACACCGAGGCGGGAGGGTAGGAGGAAGGGAAAGAGAGAGAGACACACACAGACAGACACAGGCAGTGTGACAGTCGGCGACTGACGTGGTCACGGTCTGGGATGTGAGGGCCGGTTGGTGGTTCGGTGCAGGGGGCTCCCGGCACCGCAGTTCTGACCTGTAGCACAGCCCCGTTACTCCAGTCGCGGGCCTCTCCTGAGCGGAACGCCAACTTACGCCGGGGTTTTATGACCTACACAAATGGGGGTTGAAATCGAGGTCAGCACTGTCCAGAGTCTGGCCAAGGGTGACCTAGAGTGACCAAAGGGCAGCAGCTATGGCCGCTTGAGGCCCAGTCCCCACAGGATAGGCATTTCCTGAGGGCAGCGCAGCCACCCACTACGTAGGGATCTTGAGAAGATGTGTTTATTAGTGAATTACAAATGACTTCCAAGGACACAAAAAATTGCCAACAGGGAGCTTTGGGTCTATAGGGGGTGGGAAAGCAAAGCATTAAAAAAAAAAAAAGCAGCCAAAAAAACTTGATTTCAAACTTGCTTCTCTCCTTAATTTAGCTAGAACATTTCTTCCAAACGCCCCTTTTGTATCTCAATGTGGCTTTCAGAAAAGTCCTTTTAAACAAGAAGTGCTTGTCAGCCGGCACACTGCAAGTGAAAGCTACAAAATCTAAAGAAACTGCAAATTAGTATTTTCACCACCAAACACCACCATTAAATGCAATTTAGACGCACAGTTAACAACCAGGCAGATGATCGCCGAGTGTGGGAGAGAATGTCTGAGCATCCTGCCTGCTAGCGACAACTCCCTGCCAAGGGAACGAGGCCCCTCTCCTGGAAGGCGAGGCCACCCAGCCCATGCTCCCAGGCCATAGCTCTGGCTCCCATACCAGGACTCTCACCTGCTTCAGCGCAGGGTGTGGGGCAGCAGCAGGCTCGGCCTTGGCCTGCGCGGGGGCGGCGCCCTGCTGTAGGAGGCGCTGCTCGATCTCCTGCTCCTGCTGTAGCGCCTTCACGAAGGCGGCCTTCAGGCGGCTCGTATGCTCCACCTTGAGTGCCTTCTTCTGGTTGGATGCCATGCAGTTCTCGCACATGATGGCGCCGCCCTTCTCCTCCCGCCAGCGGCACGTGAAGTCCGTCTTGCACTGTGCACACATGTAGGGCTCCCGAGACAGCACAACGGCGGCTGACATCCTGCCCGCTGCAGGGAGAGATGGGTGTGCCGCACGTCAGAGGAACAGGAACACCACAGTAGGAGCCCGGACTACCCCCAGGTGGGATATGGATGAGGGCAGAGCAGAGGCAGCACCCTGGGCCATGTGGCCCAACTGGCATCAGGACACCAAAGCCTCAGTCAGTGTTCGTTAGGCAAACACATATTGGATGCCAACTGTGTGTGGGCACTGGGCCAGCCTCGGGAGGCTTTGCTGGCAGAAGCAAAGTTGAAGCACTTAAGAAAACACTGTGAGTTAGGCACCCTTGATACCAACTCTCAAAGACATCAGTGCTGTCAGCTTGGCTTCTCCCAGTCATCTTTCCTACCCACAGTGCAGACATTTCCAACCCTCCCGTACTGCGTCACCAGTGGAGAGGAGATGGTGACCACTCGAGGTCCCCACCTTGTGGTGACTGGCACCCTTGCTAATGGGTGAGTTAACAGAGGACCAGTCATCTAGGCGAGTGCTTATGCTAACAGGCACTGTGCCTGGTGCCTTGTGGGTATCAGGGTGTCCAATTCTCACAACAAACTTCTAAGGGGCACCCCCCCACCCCACTGTTCTGAGGAAGAAACTGAGGCCAAGGAGCTGAAGTGACCTGTGCACAGCTGGTCAGTGGCAGGGCCAGGACACATACCCGGCTGCCCTGGGAAATGGGAACTTGGTGGCTCCTTGATCAGCTACAGGAGGGGTGACTGGGGAAGCCACAAAAAGCACCTGCTGAGGTGTGGGGTCGATACCTTTTTTTTTTTTTTTTTTTTGCGGTATGCGGGCCTCACTGTTGTGGCCTCTCCCATTGCGGAGCACAGGCTCCGGACGCGCAGGCTCAGCGGCCATGGCTCACAGGCCCAGCCGCTCCACGGCATGTGGGATCTTCCCGGACCGGGGCACGAACCCGTGTCCCCTGCGTCGGCAGGCAGACTCTCAACCACTACGCCACCAGGGAAGCCCTCGATACTTTCTTCAGTGTATATATGTTTGCCATCCAATGTGCAGTAAGGGGTACCTTTTGCACTCTGTTCCTATCTTTTCTGTGTCCAGCACTCCTCAGTTTAGTTGCCTCTTGGCATTATGGACCATGATGCCGAGAGACCCTTAGCCTCCCCATCCTGCCTTGGGCCTGGCCAAGCTGCCCCTAACTGCTGAGGGGCTGTGCAGGATCTGACTCTAGTGGGGAGACCTGTCACTCCACGGAGCAGATGGGATGTTGCCTGCCCAAGCTGCCCAAGGCTCAGGGGTCTACACTGCGCCCCCAGCTCCAGTCCCCAGCCTACAGCTAACACGCTCTGGTAACAAGGGCACTTTTGCTTCCACACATCCAACCCCAGAGGATGGGGTACCTGCTTCCCAGGCAGCTGCAGCCTGCGTGACCAGTGCCAGAACAGACACACCAGTGCAGGGCTGTACTCAGTGTCCACCTGTGGCTCTGCGAAGTGTCAAGAGACACCTCAAGCAGGACTCAAGAGCCTCCTCCCACAGTTAGGTCCTGTTTTTTGACAACAGGAGAGGGAGACAGACCCCTGATGAGAACAAGCGGAGACAGACTGGTCTGGGAGAGCGGGTGCCCAGCACAAGCAAGCGTAGGACGGGCAGGCACCGCCTCCTGACTCAGGCCTCCTGCCTGCCGCACTGCATTGGCCTTATAGCAGCTTTTTTGCCAACTTAACCTCATCATAAAGGAGTCACTGAAGGGATCCAGACACATCCAGGCTGGGTGTGTCTCCCCACTGGGCCTGGCTCTGGTGCCCCACAGTCCCTCAGGTGGAGTCCACCTGGTCATCCCCTGCCCTGAAGAGGTTACAGCTCTGCCTCCTCCTCAGCTCTGAGCATCTGACGAGATCACGTGGGGCGGGGATTCAGGCTGGCTGCCTAATAAATGCCACCACGAGCTCAATCTAAGGGCAGAAAGTCCTCAGTTTAGCATCTGCTGGAGGCTCCCAAAGGGCCAACCTGACCTCTCACCTTTCAGTATCGTTTTTGCTCACTACCTTATTTATACTCTTTTATTCCTAAAACCCTCTAACATGCAGGTGTGCTTTCCAAACTACTTCCAAGGAGGGTAATAAAATGATCCTGGCCCGGGCATAGGTGTCCCTCTCCCACTTTGGAGACTAAGAGTGCTTGAGGCTCTGCAGAGTTCCACCTTTGCCCAACTCTCAGAAGTGGCCCCATCAGAAAGAAGGCGCCTATGGTACGTTTAAGAAATTATCTAGGGCAGGAGGGAGAAATCAGGAGATTGGGACTGACATGTAAACACTACTATACATAAAACAGATAACTGACAAGGACCTACTGCATAGCACAGAGAACTCTACTCAATATTCTGTAGTGACCTATATGGGAATAGAATCTAAAAACGAGTGGATATATGCATATGTATAACTGATTCACTTTGCTATACTCCTGAAACAAACACAACACTGTAAATCAACTACACTCCAATAAAAATTAATTTAAGAAAAAAGAAAGAAATTATCTAAACCTCACAGCAAGCAAATAACTAATGACAAGATGTCATCCACAATGCGCCCCACAGCTGTGGGTACACAGCAGACATGCCAACATGTGCTATGCATGAAAAACAACTTGCATGATGGAAACTTCAGCAGCAAGAGATAAAAACGGCCCCAGGCCCAGGGCCTCCTTACCTTGCGTCTCCAGCAGGTTCTGCACCACCTCCTCCAGGCCGACCAGGTAGATGAATTCATTGTTGGCAGCGCTGGGTAGGAAGTTCATCTCAGGGGCGGGGGGCTTGGGTGGGGGGATTTCAAGCAGCGTCTTCTCCAGCTGTTTGCGCAGTGCAAGCTTGGCGGCTGCCTGCCGACTGGCTGGAGAATCAGCAGAGGTGACCACGGAGGCCACACTGGTGGGGGTGGAGTTGGCCTGAGCAGAAGTGGCTGTCGTTCCTTTCAGCGATGCTGCGGAGGGCTTTTGGGAGACAATGACCTGGTCAGGGTGCTTGAGGCGTCCACCCTGAGGAGAGCCCAACCACGGCACCCACAGCCCAGGCCGGCACCATTTAGCTACATTAAGTCCTTAATAAAGTACCTCCAGGTCATCAGCACCATTAGCTATGCTAAAACAAATCCTTATAAAAGTAACTCAGGACTTCCCTGGTGGTGCAGTGGTTAAGAATCCGCCTGCCAATGCAGGGGACACAGCTTTGAGCCCTGGTCCGGGAAGATCCCACATGCCGCGGGGCAACTGAGCCTATGAGCCACAACTACTGAAGCCCGCGCACCTAGAGCCCGTGCTCCGCAACAAAAGAAGCCACCGCAATGAGAAGCCCCCGCTCGCTGCAACTAGAGAAAGCCTGCGCGCAGCAACGAAGACCCAATGCAGCCAAAAATTTTAAAAAATTTTTTAAGTAAAAAGTAACTCAGAGCTGCTTGACATCAACAAGCAACAGGAAAAGCGCCATTAAAGTAATTGCCCTATGAGATGACCAATCTTATAAATACACTTGTTGAGGTTTAGCTGATATCCAATTAACTTTAAAACCTGTAATTTGCTACACTTTGCCACCTGAGGACACCCATGAAGCCATCACCATGACAGTGGGTAGCCCCTTGGCAACTGTCCCCCACCCAGGCAGCATGGCAACTCTCCTGTCACTATGGCCTGGCTCTCCTCCCAGCACAGGTCTGGGTGGCCTCCTTCCTCAAAAGGTTGCAAAGGTGGCTCACTGTGGCATCAATGGCATTTCCCTCATGAGCATCTTTGTGTGCCCCTGCACTTCACCTTTCCTGACCCTCACTGCTCCTGCATCATTTATCATCTTCTGCACCCCAGTGGCTGACCCTCCACCATCTCCTTGCTCCAGACCACTTGTCACCCAACATTATCAAATGCTCTCCCCCAAACTTGGAGCTGACCACGCCAGTGCCCTTAGCTTTGTGGCACTGAAGACACTTCTGGAAATAGAAGGAAAGTTGTGTACACCATCTCCAGGAAAATGCACACACCTGACAACTTGTATGTAACACATCATGGGGCTCAGGGAGCCCAGGATGGTTGCCCAGACCCCGCCCATGGGGTCTCCACAGCGGAGCAAAACTCCCCACCATAGAGGATGCCATCACAGCACCTTGGCCTGTCTACTCCAGCCTCTGACCAGCCAGTTCCTCCCTGCCCCTTTTGCAGGCTCCCCTGGCCCCACAGGGAGCACAGCCACAGGATCCATCCACCACTGCCTGCCTGGTTCCCATCCTCATGGCACGAGAACAGGGTATGGCACACGGTAGTAATTTGATCCGAGTTTATGGTGTAGATGAAACTGCCTGCCCAGGACGTCCCCATTTGGGTGGCAAGACTGTTCTTGAACCTGACTTTAGAAGAGGCAGGGACGCTGCCCAGAGCCCTGCTGGCCATGATCTTATCTGAGCAAGGTGGGCAAGGATGCACCGTGCCAAAGGAGGAAGAGAAGCTAACTTGCACATCAACAAAAGCCCTTGCAAACCCAGTAATTTCATCTGTCAGTGAGGATCATGCTTCGGCCTGCCCGCCCCTGGTCCCATCTTCCCCACTCTGTTGGGTGGCGACAAACCCTCCCCATTTCAGAGGCTCTGTATGGAGGTGAAGGGATGCGTGGCTAAGAATAGATACCCTGGTGCTGAAAGGACATTTGCAGACCTTCTCCACACGTTTGTGCCTATAGAGGGGGAGGGTGCGGAGCGCTCTGGTGCCCCACCCTGAGCCTTCCCTATGTCAGCTCAGATCTCCACCCCTCCCACTCTCGGCAGCTATCCACCTCTGCTAGATGGCAGTTGGCAACGTAAGACTCCTGCCCACGACTTTCATGCACCAACTAGCTCCAAGGAGCTACAGTAACACCGTCTGCGGGGCTGGATTATCCAAGACCTCACCTGGCTCCAAGGAAGCAGGCAAGTCACGCCAAGCCACCCTGGAGACATGACTGCGTCCCAGGACTGTGGGCCGTCAGAGGGGCAGCTGCGGGGCACACATATGACCCTCACCTGTGGGATGTTGACGAGCAGACTAGTGTTGGGGACGTTGGTGACGCGGATGAGGCCCTGCTGGATGATCCTCTGTCCCTGAATTTGCACACTGGGCACAGATGCCCGGGGAGCCAGGAGGAGCGGTGGCGGCCCTGTGCTGGAATGTTGTCTGATGTTGTGGATCTGCTGTTAGGGTGTAGTGGGGGGAGACAAGTCAACGAGAGGGACGACAGAGGGCGCCACAGGGAAAGAGCCCCCAACCTGAGAACTAGGAAGGCTCATTCTCGAGAGGTGGAGGCTGCCTGGGGCTTCCCTTAAGCCCTCACTCTGCTTACCTGGGCCCCCCTGACGAGTGGGGGCATGACGACCTGTGAGCTCGCCTGTGGCCCTAACTTCGAGGACGTCTGCTGCCCGCCACGGACCAGGGGTGGTGGGATGACACTGCCAGGCATCCGAGTTGAAGAGGTCTGTCAACAACACCAACCCTCAGATCTTACGTGACTTTTTAAACAAACAGGTTTGCTGTTTTTGTAAAAGCACATACTCATTACCCAGAAAAAGGTGGTGGCGGAGAAGGAAGGGCAAGCTTGGACGAAGTGAGAAAGTGGCATGGACATATATGCACTACCAAATGTAAAACAGATAGCTAGTGGGAAGTGGCCGCATAGCACAGGGAGATCAGCTCAGGGCTCTGTGACCACCTAGAGGGGTGGGATAGGGAGAGTGGGAGGGAGACACAAGAGGGAGGGGATATGAGGATATATGTATACATATAGCTGATTCACTCTGTTATACAGCAGGAAGTAACAGCATTGTAAAGCAATTATACTCCAATAAAGATGTTTTTAAAAAAAGATTAAAAGAAAAATTAAAATGTCAAAAAAAAAAGGGTGGTGGCAGAGAAAATAAAAGCTAAAATGCCTATTTATTCAAAACACAAAAGAACCAGGAACAGACTCTGACAAGAGCCACGCCAACCTGGGCTCACTCAGGCTTACTCAGGACTCGGGCCCCACAACAGCAAGAGTCCAGCTAACTGGGACCAGTACCACCCGCCTGCTGGTCTGAGCTGGGGGCTCAGGCCTGTTTGAGGGGAGGTGGGCCCCTGGCCTCTCTGTCCTATGGCTGGAAGTGGGAGACCTGCCCATCTCACCCTGTGGGCAGAGGAGGCTGTGAGCCGGGCTGGGACAAGGCCCCACTGGGCCCTCCAACTGCCCTCAGAGAGTCAGGCAGAAGGGAGCCCAGTCTGCCTAGAACCTTGGTCCTCACTCCAGTCTCTCTAGGGGTGGTCATGGGAGGGGCCCTCCGAGAGTCTGTGTGATTTGTTTATGATGTCAACAGGGGCCTGGGTTGGGTATGGGAACACAAGCATGTTTTATTTTTGGGGCTCCCACCAGAAGGCCTCTAATCAGAAGAAACGAGCGGGCTTTTGCAGAAACTGGATCAGGGCTGCTCAGGAGCATGACGCAGAGGGAACACTGACCTGAAGTGATGGCTTGCCGGAAGGAATGTTCTGGGTGCCCCGTACAAGCGGGGGAGGGGTGGTCACAGAGCTCCCAGTGGAGCCTGCGGGCTGCAAGAGAGCAGGACATGCAGGAGATGAGAGGGCCACCAACCCTGCTCCTCTCACACGTAATTCTGACAGAAGAGCACTGCTCTTCTTCCTCTTCAAAAGGCATCAGGCTCTCAAACGTTCTGCTTCCCGCCTGCCACGTTCCTTGCAGCAGGAACGGACATGTTTGAAACAGATAAAGGGGATTTCCCTGGTGGTCCAGTGGTTAAGACTCCAGGCTCCCAATGCAGGGGGCCCAGGTTCGATCCCTGGTCAGGGAACAAGATCTCGCATGCCGCACCTAAGAGCCCACATGCCACAATGAAGATCCTGCGTGCCGCAACTAAGACCCAGCACAGCCAGATAGATAGATAGATAGGTAGGCAGGTAGGTAAATAAATAAATAAAAATAAACAAACAAACAAAGGACAGATTTTCCAGCACCCTTTACCCCCCCACCCTGGGGGTGCTCGGCATCACTGTGGTTCAGGTGCCATCTCTGCCCTTCAGGGGACAAAAAAGGCTGGTGGTGGAGGCTGAGGTGAAGGACCCCGGGCTTAGGTTAATCCCAACCCTGGTGAGAAAATGTTGGGTCCTGGCACTTTTTTAATTCTTTTTTTCAAAAAAGATTTATTTATTTATTTTTGGCTGCATTGGGTCTTAGCTGCGGCATGCAGGATCTTCGCTGAGGCATGCGGGGTCTTTCATTACGGCCCGGGGGCTTCTCTCTAGTTGTGGCATGTACGTTTTCTCTTCTCTAGTTGTGGCACATGGGGTCCAGAGCGCGTGCGCTCTGTGGTTCGCAGCACGCAGGGTTGAGGCACGCGAGCTCAGCAGTTGTGGTGCACGGGCCTAGTTGCCCCGCTGCATGTGGGATCTTAGTTCCCTGACCAGGGATCAAACCCACGTCCCCTGCATTGCAAGGAGGATTCTTCACCACTGGACCACTGGGGAAGTCCCCAGCCACTTCTTAAAGTCACATATTCCACCAGAGAAGGGACACTGACAGACTTGGCTCACATCATCAATTCTTAAGCAATCAACAAGGAAACAAGTAATGAGCAGGCTCTGTCCATCGGGATATTAACAGATGGCAGGCTTGGTCCACTTGTTTACCAGGTGGGGGTGGGGGCTCAAGCAAATCCCAAGTCAGACCAGTGAGCGTCCCCCTGTCCTGCTCCCTTAAGGGGACACATGTTCTACACACTGTACTGCCTGAAGTGCATTTACTTTCTGGTTCACTAAGAGAGTGGTTAGAATATAAGGAAGGGTAGTTTTGTCACCGACCAGGAAGCTTCCCGGAATGAGACACCAAAAAAGGACAAAACAAACTTGACCTTGCCTTACATGGTAAGGTGCATTTAGAAGCAGCACAAGGAGCCTGAGGCATCAGGGGAGGTTAACAGGAGTAGAAGCTCTGGGGCCGGGCTATGGTGCACCCTGTGGCATTCAGCAATCTGTCCACAAAACCACAGCGGCCCCTGCTGGCCAGAACATTCATCCACAGGGCCGAAGGCCTTTCTGAAAAGGGGTCTGAGACAGAGCTGTGCTTCCAGCATGGTCAAAGATGCCTGCTCTCCATTTCCTTGATGGAGTCTACAGGGAATGAGGTTTACATACTCAGATCCAGAACATACTAGACCAAAACGTACTCTGATATCCTCTAAGCTAAATCCAAAACATGAACTTGAGTCTGCAAATTTCCAATTCAGACCCTGTCCCTATGCCCCTAAGGAAACCTGACCCCTCATGACCAGTCTTTCTGGCTCCTGGGGCAGCAGTGGGCCAAGGAAATGACCATGGCTTTCTGTCCCTGGTTCTAAACGGCTCTCACTGACCACTGAGGAGGGAACAGACGCGCACATACCTTCTGGGTGGTAGTTTCCTTTTGTATTTGACTCTGCCGCAACTTTTTCAATAAAACGAGTTTTGCTTCTTCTAATCTTAACTCTTCTTTTAGTTGCTTAATCATCCTTTCTCGTTCTTCAGGACTGCTTTTCTACAAGGGCAAGAGAACAAGGGTTGAGGGGGAGAGCTGGGGGCCGGCGAACACAGGCTGTTCCACTGCGAGATGGTTCCCCAGCATGGGGACAAGGCTCACCATGAGGGCCTCAGTGCTGGTCTCCTTCAAGGCATCCTCGGTCAGCCCATTCACCCTCGGGCTCGCAGGCTGCTCATTGTCAGAGAGTACGATCACGTCGGGCGAAGGGGCTCTCCTCTCGGACTTCATGTCACTGTGGAACAGGAACAGTCACAGGTTACTACCAGAGCGTCCCGACTGCGCTGGACGGCGTCCCCTAGAGCCCCAACCCCCACACCCCGCAGATGCCTGGATTCAGACGCAGACACAACAAGGTGGCAGCAAGCAGGGCTGCCTCAGCAGACCTCCCCACCACCTGCCCACCCAGGCTGCCTTCTCTCACCGCACTCACCACGGGGCACTCAAATCTTTCAGTTTGCGGCTGAGCCCTTCAAAAGCCGGGACTGTTCTTGGTAACCACTTCTGTGTCCCCCGGGCTGAGGACGCCTACGTGTCTGAAGGTGACACAGTCATTTTGAAAAACACCACGGCTCCTATCTCTACCATGTAGCTCAGTACTGAATAAAAATACTGGGTCCTGAATCTTGGGCCTCTTGCTAGGGCTCCTACCTGCCCGTGTTGGAAGCCACCTGATGGGGCGTCCAGCTCCCACGCAAATCAGCCTTTCTTTGCTAAACCCAGACTCGCTAACAGCCCTCACGCCCGTCCCAGGAGACAGAGGGGCTGATGCACATGTTGCCGGCCTACATTCTAGCTCCCCAGCATGGGGTGCCACCACCTCACAAGGTGGCCAAGGCTGCCTGCTAGATAGTCCTTCCTGGGCTACACGTGGCCTCTTCACCCTGCCAGTGGCAACGTGGCAGTAGTGGCTGCATGTTTTGAAACCGACTGGAACATGGAACACATTTTCTCTCACAGATCTGGGTACTTTCCACCCACCTGATCCGCTCACAAACTAGTTCCCAGCCACCTCTGCCCATTACCCTCTGCCCTCTTACGCCAACCCTACCAGCCAAGTCCCCTAGGACATATATGCACATCTAGTGATGCTGGACTTCTGCTCTGGCATTGCTGACCCCACACATAAGGACCAACAGGTCCCAGAGACGGTGCTTAGTCCCGAACCAAGCAGCTCTGTTTGCTGAGGGCACAACGTAAACTTTCCCTTGAGATATGGCCTCAGCATTTGTGTCGAAGGAATCAAATCCAAGGACTGAATGTGTCCACTAGGTGGCAATGTGGCCCAAAGAACAAACTCGATGAAGTTAACTGGGAGCAACACCTCAAAGTTGTCCCATTCCTGCCGGCTGAGCGGGGACAGAGTTATAGATGGAGGACTGGTGTTTTAACAGCCCACTCAACTGCCCTTTCGACTCCCAGAGTGAACTGTGTCTTCAGGGAAGGATGGGCACAGAGGACCAGATACTGCATTCCCTAACTCCCGTAGCCCCTCAACCCGCAGTGTGCTTCCCCAGGCCCCTCCTAATCCCACCTCCTAGAGCAGCATGGCTGCTGCACCTCAACAATCCCAGACCTGATCTGATTTAACCAGCACAGCTGCTGGATGGTCTTCCAGAAAAGAGACCAGGAGAGTGAACAAAAAAAGGCTTCCATTTCAAGGTACAGAATCCCCTCACTGTGGTTAGCAGCCCACGTTCTCAAGTCCAGAAATTGGCTGGCCATCTATAAAGTAACCCGGGATGTCTCACTAGAGCCTCATCAAACTAAAAACCAATGCAATTCAGGAACCACCACACTTTCAAGTCTCCGTGTCTCCCTGCTGACTGCCAACTCTGCCCAAGATCTACTTTAAAGATGACCTCGGGGGACTTCCCTGGTGGCGCAGTGGTTAAGAATCAGCCTGCCAATGCAGGGGACACGGGTTCGAGCCCCGGTCCAGCAAGTTCCCACGTGCCGCGGAGCAACTAAGCCCATGTGCCACAACGTAGCCCCCGCTCGCCGCAACTGGAGAAAGCCTGCGCACAGCAACGAAGACCCGATGCAGCCAAAAATATTAAAAAAAAGAAAGAAAGAAAAGACCTCGGGGCTCCAATTCCGGGTTCTGTGGACACGCACACAGGCACTAAGCAGACACGAGGCTCCAGCACAGGAGTGCAGCCACTGGTCCCAGCCCAGGTGGGTTCCCAGGCAGCTGGCTACACACAGGCAGAGGAGCAGCCCAGGCAGAACCACGTCTGGAGTTACAAACTACAGGCGCTTCCTGAGCAAGAGCGCTCTGAGACAACGGTAACTTGCAGGGATTTATCACTTTTTATCACCTCAATGAGGATGTGCACGCCTTCCAAAGGTGAGATGTCTAATAAAGCTCAAATTTGCCTGAGGGAAGAGGGTAGGGTTAGGGACTGGGACCATGTTGAAGCTGAAGCTCCCTGAGATGGCCACTCTGACCACAGCACTCCCAGGTCCCATCTTGGACTGAGACTAATCAATAACTCATCCAAGAGATGACATCACCTCCCATCAATGATCACTCAGCATCCCAGCAGCCAGCAGGGAGTGAACTTCCTGTATGCTAATCAGGCCACCAAAAAGTCATGTGACAAAGGCATTTCCCTCTTTGGTCATGTGACCCTTTAACTGTGCCTTCCAACGTGAAAACCATGGCAACAGCCAGTTCTAACCAGTTTGTGACACGCAGGCTTCATTTTGAGAAGTGAGGTAGGGTTCAGGTGCTGTCAGGAAATGGAGGCACCAGCTCACCCTGGGGCTGCCGGGCTGCAGGCATTTCCTGTGTGGTGCCGGCCCGTTCGATTGTTACAGGGACCTGAGTCACCTCTTCCAAACACAGAAGGGTCACCAGCCCCGCTAGTTTCCAAGATGAAAAACTTTCCTAAGTTCAATTTTAAAGCAAAGGTGCTTCAAGTCTCTCATTACTTTCCCAGAGGGTTCTTTTAATTCAGGGAAAAGAACACGCATTTGACAAAGGCTCAAAATTATTGTGGGCATTCTTTTTTTAAAACGTATTTTAAATTATAAAACCATTTAGGCCAGGAGAACAAAGCAGAGGAAATCTAGCCGAACATGCCAGGGGAACAGTTGTAGTGGCCAGGTGTACTGCCTCAATCCAGGGCAGCTGCCTGGGCACCAAGTTTATTTAGAAGCTGTATGATTTCAGGGCAAATTCATTAAGCCTATCCTGCCCATCTTGGGAACCCTTATATAAAATATCATGATCAGGGGACTTCCCTGGTGGTCCAGTGGCTAAGACTCCACGCTACCAATGCAGGCGGGCCAGGTTCAATCCCTGGTTAGGGAACTAGATCCCACATGCTGCAACTAAAGATCCCACATGCTGCAACTGAGACCTGGCTCAGCCAAATTTAAAAAAATTATGATCAGAAGAGATTTTACATGACCGACAAAAATCCCTGGAAGCAGGCTAGGCTGTTAGCAAAAATGGTCTCACTACCTCCTCCCCTGTATACTGGTCGTGGCTAAACAGAGTTCTGTTACCTGCCCAGAACTTTCACCAAGTTTCCTAAAGGGAAGGCAGGGATTATAAACTTAACTCATGACAAGATCCCTCCATTCACAGCACCAGACTACCATCCCAGCTGCTAACCAATTAGCGGTCAGTGTGAAGTTAATATTTAGTGTCTCACTGGCCTGTGCCAGGGGAAGCAGTCTCATCAAGGGAATGCAGCTCTGACCTTTGTTGTTCTCAATATGGGCCTGCCTGATGTCTGGGGAAGGCACACTTGATCCACACTCATTCATTTACTCACTCACTCCAATTTGCTGAAAGCCAACCTAAGAAGCAGGTGCTGTGTCAGGTAGTGGGGAGAAACCCCTGGATAAAAGCAGTTCCATCCTTAGGGTCGACCAGGATGGGCAGACACAAAACCAGGAGGGGGAGGGGCAGATGGGAGTGGACCACCACCTGCCTCAGCCCACTGAGCAGCAGAGCAGCTTCACCAAGGCACGTTACTACCCCAGACCTGCTTGATCAAAGCCTGCACTTTTATAAGATCCCTAAGATGCCTGCACACACTAGGGAAGCCGGGGACGAGGGTGGTCCAAATGAGTCCCGGGGACAACAAACTGCTCCTCAGGGCTAACCCAGGGGAGACAAGCAGCGCTGGTGGCCAACTACTCCCTGATAGAACCCTCCCTCTTCCCCTCATCTTTTGGGCCTGGCTGGGCAGGGAGGGGCAGGTGGTTGCTGTTTGCTGGGTATGGCAGGTGCGGGGGAGAGGCTTTTCCAGACCCAGCGCCAGTTTCAGCAAACATTAGTCTTGGCCCCACTAGACCCTCCCCCAGGGCATTCCTCCCTCTAGAGCCCATTCGGCCCTCCCAGGCCCACAGCCTCTCCAGCCCTCAGACCCTGAACTCCAAGTTGCTGCTCACATGTACGTCCTGTCGTGAGCTCCTCCCACCTTCACCACCATCCACTCCAAGGAATGTTCCTCCGTCATATTTCTCATCTCCCTTGTGAGGCCCAACTCACACTTCAAGGTGCGCTTCAAACCACCTGTGCCCTCAGTAAAGGCCCCAGCTGGCCAAGCCCTGCCCTGGGACCGTGGTCAGCACTACCCCACTGTGCTCACGGGACCCGCCCCCCCCCAACAGCGTGCATGTCTGGGGCAGCCTTCTTCGCCCTGCCTCTAACTGTCCATCTTGGAGGCAGGAAGCTTAGGGCAAAACTCTGGGAGCTTCCACTCAAGGGCAGCACAAGCCCGAGCAGAGGCACTCCCCTGACAGAGACCAGCTCACTCACCCTCACCTCAGCAAACTATCCAAGAAAGTGCCTTGCCCTCCTACAAGGTGCCATTATGGCAGCCCTGCGCTGGCTCAGTTCACCCTCCCACAGCCTCCCAGGGTAATGCTGTCATTGCGCATTTGATAGGCGGGTTCCCCCACCCAGGGCTGGGGCCAGAGGTCACCACAGGCATAGCAGCCAGGGAGCCATGGTCCCACCTGGAGCCATCTTCACAATGCTGGAGCCCTACAGCTCCCGGTGAGGGCCAGGATGCTCCTAAGGTGGCCTGAGAAGCAAAGGGCTCCCCACCTCCCCAGAGCCAGAGGGACAGGACCCTCCTCCTAGTGCCATGCTGGGTGGTGGACAGGCCACAGGGCTTCCTCCCAGAGCAGGCACTGTGCACCAGGCCTACACACACTGAGGGGAGGGGGAGAGTCACACCCTTACAAAACCTCTCACTTGGTTCTGCCTCT